AACATTTTTTTAAAATATTTAATAAATATTTAATGCTATCGGGGTTATAAACAAGAAAGTAGAAGGAGTTTCAATGCTGGTTGCACAAGGAATTTGAAGAGCGACCAGTGTGCACGTTGAACAATTTGTATTGAAGAATTTAAGATTTTTTTAGGAACAGGTGGCCTCAAAAAACCTGTGTTGTGTATGTGCGCTCAATACAAAAATCAACATGGAGTCCCTTGATCCATCGCTGATCTTGGGAAGGTCCTGATGTTTTTCTTATACTAATTTTTACCTGAAATCGACAGAATTTCAACGACACTATCTACCGATTTCGTCTTGTTCGGTTCAGCTACGCTGCTAACAAAGCTCTAGTCTGGTGCGTGAGTTCTGGAGCAGCGGTTTCACCACTCTATGCTGGTCGAATTGGACTTAAAGCAGAGGACGCGCCAAAAAAAAGATACGAAAAGATGCTTACCAAAGCTGCTTAACTTTATACATATTCCATCATTAGAACGACTGTAAGATAAGAGATAAGGATAAGAACCCTATGCATGGGGAGATATTTTGGAAAAATCGCTTTCATTTTTCCGGCTAAAAACTAATGTAACTTTTTTATTGGCATTTTTTAGGCACTACATGATGGTGTTTTTAAATTTTGTGCTCGACGGTTCGTTTTTGAGAAACCATTATCAACTTTACTTTTTTATATGGTCCGAAAACAGTATCCATTAGCACTTCTTTATACGAATTGAACTATGTATGTACCATGTTACATTTATTTTCTTGGTTATAAGCAAATGCTTGACTTCACGTGAATACCTGTCACCGAGTATTGTTAAAGTTATTTTATTGTTGGAAAAATTTTAGTTTTTCCCACATGTCTCAGTAAGACAATTTTTGCAAGTTTTTCAATGGCATGTGAATATCCCCAAAGAACGCAACTTTTTCCTTCAGAATCCTTGTTCTAGAAAATATGTCACTAATAAATTGATTGTTCTTAAAAAAAGTAGGTTTCGCAAACAAAAGTAGATAATGTTTACAAATGATGTAAGGTGTAAAGTACCTACATATTCACCAATACCTATCTTGTGGTTGAATATTAATGATGTTAATATGTGTATTTCGTAAAGGCAAATATAATGTGATATGAAAGTACCTTACGGGTAATATAAGCCTGTTAAATCAACATCTTCTATAGACACAAATCAAGGATAACACAAATATAGCTTTATGTGTGTGTGCTGTGCGTGGTCAGTTTTGTAAGTGTTTTTAAGAACATTATTGTCTCACTGAACTTGAAGATCATTATATATTGTAGATACTAAATAAAATCCGAAAACCCTGATCCTATCTAAGGTAGTTGGTTCAAGTCAACTGTATTATATTTCATTAGCTAAACTATTAATGAAGGAATTAAAAATTGAAGATTTGCGGTTGTAGGGGGTGGGAGAGAGTATATTCCAATTTTTTGGGCTTAATTATATCTATGCCTCCAGCTGCGGTAATTCTAAGCACCTACTGGACATATACCTCACATAGATTTCCCCGTACATTTGTCCTGTATAAAACAATATTTTCAACGAATGAAGAACAGGCAAAATCAACTTTCTGTTTTCCAGAGCCAAACCCGGGACGATGAAATACGAATCTGAGCATCTAACGACTACACCAAACAGTCGGTTATAAATTAGTCTCAGGGGCATCTCAGAGCCGTACCAAACCACGGCAAACTAGATTATGCCGAGAGATCGAGAGCCGCTGGATTGAAACGGCGAATAAACAGTTAGATTTTGCGCGATGAGAGAATCTCGCCAGGCGACGGACAACGACCGACGAACACTGCAACAACGCAATTCTGCACAAATTCGGGGTATTTCAGGACATTTGCTACTTTTTCCAATGTTGCAGTCAAGAATACGGGATTATCCAAAATGAAATAAGCAAATGAGAAAAAATATTCATGTGAATATAGGTCAAAAATGTAGAATCAAGGAACTGAAGCGTTGGGGGCAGATCATCGGCAAGAGACAATATTTTTTGTGAACGTACAACTTTTTGAATAACAAATTTTCTCAATGGGGAGAACAAACGAAATATCCCATAAACTGTACACAAAATCATGCTAAATATTAGAACTTTAATGCTAGTGCACTTAAATTCTCAATGTTTAAAAACTTTAGAACTTCCACCATAGACAATGCAAATATCTTGGATTAACCGCTGGATACTCATCAAAGCAAAGTCAAATCATGCAAAAACAAGAAAACTCACTAACATTCGTTTCACATCACAATCATCTCATGCCGTCAATCATCAGAGTACCCAGAATAAATATCACAAACATGTTCAAAAATTTACAAACAAAATACAATCAAAAAGCTGTAATAAATACTCGTGAAACTATTTCGAAAAACGTCCACTTTCCCTTTTTCCGGTTACGAAACACGCGTCCGCGCCATTTGTTCTATTTGCGTGTTGGTCGCGAAAGGGCCCAATATCGGCAATGTTGTCGTATGGCCTCTAAATACCCGTTTAAAATAGGAATTTGACGTCAAATAGATCCATGAAGTTCTTCGTAGACTTCTTCACGACATTAGATCTTGTTTTACAAAATATGGTTTTTGTTTATGAGATTCGCCTCAGATTCACAACCACAAAATAGACATAAAAGCTCAAAATATTTCTAGCAAGAATTTGTTCATTGGTTGGCAGCACTGAGTACTGACAGGTAATGCATGAATTTGTCCATTGATGTAAACGATGTAAACACCGCAAAACAATCAGCATTATCTCGAAAAATCCATCTGAATAAATTTCTGAAAAAAATGTTGATGCAAAACGGATCTAAGTGTTGCGATTTTAACAGACCCCAGATAGTACTCTGTGCCATTGCATCATACTACAAGTCAACCATAGGTATATTGTGGGAAGAAACAAGTTTTTTAGCCGACTGCCTCAGGAGAGTGATATTATCGCGCGTATGTATGTAGACAAAAAATTGTTCGTAGCCTACTTTCATCTCAAAAGGGCTAACTTATGCCAAACATAGGTTATCTTTCATGAACTGGTGACAGCGGTTCGTGGACGATACAGACTAACCTACTAATTGACGCCTTTTTTTTAAACACGACACTGATCTCGACGAATATTGCCTTCAGCAAAGTATCACATGCTGATCTAAAACACCCGTTTTAGATTGATAATAAATTCATGAATTTTTATGGCAAAATTATTAATTAATGTATAAAAGAGGAATCAGACGTCAAATGAATTCATCAACTTCTTCGTGGACGTTTTTCACGCAATTAGAACCCGTTCTAGTTTTTTCTAAGTAGGAAGATGGTGTACAAGTAGCATGAAAGATGGCCGCAAAACATGTTCAGAGCCACAAAACACATAAGACTGAAAAAGTGGTAGCTGCATGTTAAACAATGGCAACACCGTTGACGTTTGTCAGATGTTTGCGCTGCCTACTTGCCTGGAGATCTGGAGGAACTATCGAAATAATGCGCCTGGAATAAGGAATGCTAGGAATGTGCCTGAGATTTCGTTTGTTCATAATTTAAAATCTGCTGAAAATGATATTTCCGATATTGAATGATTATTTCATTCAAAAAAAAAATATCCCTAATAAGGGTAATATCTCTTTCAGCAGTTTTGCTGAGAAAAAGGTTCAGAATAATAAAATCCAACCCTAATTATGAAGCATCAAATTTATTTAGTTTCAAAAAATATTCATAAGCTGTTGACAATGTTATAAAAATTGTATTGCAAGAAAATATAGGTAGATAGACCTATTTCAAATCCATGCTTAGTGTAACAAAGCTCAAGTGTCTCACTTCATGGTACCGCTTCTTGATAATTCTGAAACAATACAGAAAACAATAATGTAATTTTTTGTAAATAAGCTAGTCTCTTTCAATTTGTTTGCTCAGTCCTATGCCTTTAATTTGTTGGCCTTTCATACTTTATCTAACGAGTCATTGTACTTAGAGAACAGAACTTCCGCTGGTCCTCGTTTCGTGTTTCATTAATCTCCACTGAAAACCAAATTTGTCTGACAGTTTGAGTTCAATTTGTTCGAGAGAAAAGTGTCTATAGACACATATGTTAGAAAGAGATAGAAGCCGGCTGGATAGCGAAGCTTATCACCACATTGCCTATAAACGCTGACGCGTCAATCTGCCTCGTTGCCATTCTGTTACACCAGTTCCTTGAATTAAGGTGCATGTTGAAAGCATGCGTTAGTTTACTCTACGCCCAAATAATGGTTTTACTTTGAGGGTACACATTTTTTTAATTGTGAGTTGTCTCGAATCTGTTAAGGATCGATTCCGGATCGGCCCTAATGGCGCTGCATTGTATGTCGGAACGAAAGGTACGGATCGTCATAAATCCTGCAACATTGCATCATTGGTTCGTTTGATAACACCGGATCTTATATATTCTAAGGCAAGGTTTCCACGTCCATGATCATAGACGAGCGATTTTGGTCAATACCCATCTATCGCTCATTGGGGAGTGTCGCCCTGCTACTAGTAGGCCTCCTTCTTGGGTTTGACACTAACCTAACCTGTTGTTGAAGCCTGTGCGAACATTTTCTGGTGTAACATTTTGGCATCGTGGAAGCTTGCACGAGCTTCTGCGTTACCGTTGCTAGACAATGTGGTGATGACCTTCGCTCTTCGGTCAGCTTCGATCTCTACCTCTTTCTAACATGTATTGATACACACTTATCGCGCTTCTCTCTCGTACACATTGAACTCAAGCCGTCAGGCAAATTTGGTTTTCCCTTTATACACATATCAGCAAAAATTGATTATTATCGTCAAAAATATTGAAAATCGCCAGTTTGCTGGATACTGGGCGCCATTAAAGTAGCCAATCGCCAAGCTATCCATTTGAAGCCGTCAAATCGCCACTTTGGCAAAAAATCGCCATGCCTGGCAAGCCTGAATCCCGGTCAGCAGCACGTCACGTGATGTCGGTAATACTCTGTTACCTCGATTTGTCTGGAGAGGATGACCTTGGTGTTGCCAGTTCGCCCATAAGATGTTTCACCCCCCTGATCAGAGCTGCAATTAAATTAATTAGGAATCTATTATTTTATTGGTCTGGGCAAACTGTCAATTATCTCGAGAGTAAAGCAAAGTTTCCGTATGCAATGATTATTGGCGCCAGTTGCTTGCCAGTTTCCTGGCGCCACCACTACTGGCGCCAGCATCGGTTTCCACATAGTTCAATTATTTTAAACCGACATGGTATTCAAAATGGCATCAAATTCAACAGTGCGTTCAAGTATTAATGTTACAGTGCAAATTGAAGCACTAGAAGTATACGAAATCAAAAAAATTGCAGAGAAAGAAACGAAAACACAAGTGGATGGATATCTCGTAGCGGTTCGTCGGGAGCATCTAATAGTTTAATAAAAGAGTTAGCTCTTGAAGACCAGGAAACTTATCTGAATTATTTGAGAATGCCTCGAGCCTCGAGACAAATTTGCGTTTTTATTGAAACATGTATCCAATAAAACCCAAAAGGCAAGCAACCGAATCATGAGATGCTATACCAGCTCGTGTAAAATTGCAAGTGATATTAAGATTCTTGGCTTCAAGAGATTCATTTACATCTTTGCAATATATATACGAGGGATGTCTTTTAAGTTTTGCATATGGAAATAAAACAACACGGTAGGTAGTTTTAAATGACTTTATTGTTTCTCGAAGTATTCTTCTCGACGATTAATACACATCTGCATGAGCTCGAAGCACTTATTCCACTCGTTTGCTGGCAGATCCAAAACGGCATTTTTGGATGCGCCAACCGCTTCTTCTGGTGACTGGAACCTTTGGCAACGCAGTCTGTTTTTAATTTTCGGGAAAGTAAAAAAATTGTTAGGACTTAGACCGGGACTATATGGAGGATCGTCCAATAATTCCACGTTTTTTTCGTTAAATACTGCCTTGTTTTTTATGCTGTGTGCGAGCTTGCATTGTTTTGGTGGAGGATGATTCTTCTTTCGAGGTTGATTTTTCGAACCTCGGTGATGAATTTTTGCAAACAAATGGTGGTATACCAATCCGCAGTAACAGTTCTTTGCTCATTAAGAGGAATTGTTGCAATATGACCCGCTTTTGACACAAATGTCGCGACCATCTTTTTCGAAACACATCGAAAACGGATGACTTTTGTTGGCTTTTCTTCACCTTGGAACACCCAAACAGCCGACTGTCGTTTATTTTCTGGTTCATAACAGTAAATCCACGATTCATCACCACTAACAATGCTATACACATTTTTTGAGTTTCCGGAATTGAAACGGTCAAGCGTTTTTTGACACCAATTAACCCTGGCTGCTTTCTGCTCTTCAAGGACGTCTCAATCTCGCGATATGTCACATGTCTATCTTCAATGATGAGTTTGCGCACAGGATCGACGTTTTCCTGGGTGACTGCCGTTTTTTGCACACAACCTGGGATCGTCGCTAAGACTCACCCGGCCACGTTTCAATTCTCCATACCAACGGGAAATTGTCGACTGATGTGGCGCTTCGTTGCCGAAAACAGACAGTAACTCAGCAAGGCATTCTTGTTGCGGTAATTGTCTCTGAAAGTTGTAATAAATTATGGAGCAAAAATGTTCTCAGTTGAGTTACATTTTTCTAATGACTTGGTGACACTTAAAAATTCACTGTAGTGAGAACACTGCACGTATTGTTGTGAAACTTTGACTTTAAGTTTACTAAAGACTAAGGTTAGGATTCAGTACTGAAGTTCGATCCGCGTGGCTTACTATGTTTCTATATGCAAAACTTGAAAGGCATACCTCGTATTGCAAAGATGCATCTGTTGATGTTCCACTTTTATACGATGCTACAAAATTGTGATGTTCCAAGTTATACGCATTCCGAATGCTGCGTATTTTAGCTTTTGCAGCTTGATATTGAAATCTTTTTTATTCTTGTTGTGACACATAACCTCAACAATCTTCTTTAGCGCTGCATCCCGTTGAATCCTATCTTTAAATGACAGTACTTTGTAGTTCCATAGGCACGGATGTTCTTCATAAACTGATAAAAACGTGTTTATATCATCCGTTGACCATTTTCTTGATGTTCTAACTTGTGACATTTTACCGGAGATCGCAAAAAGGTTAAAAAAACAACGCTGTCAAAACTCAAGCTGGCATCAAAAAGTACAACTACTTTAAGGATTTTTTCGTCCACGGTGTAGCACAGTGCACTATCGGGAACCGATACTTAAATTTTCGCGAAGAACGGGAATAGGGGAAGACGGATGTGACGTCGTCCGGATGTCAAAAAATCACGTGGTACGGGTACCCGCTTAACGTCTGTGAGGTACTAGCGGGTGACAGGTCTTATGTCAAATTCATTTAAAAAACAGGCATCTCAATTGAAAATTTGTCTTCGCAGTGCCGAAAATTTAGTTAAATTATTACATTGCACAAAAAACGATCGGTCTTTTTATTTCAGATTCAAACAAGGCAGCTAAGTTTATCAAGGAGCTTAAAGCAAACAATTTGCGCAACATGCGCCATCTGACCACTCCCGGTGTAACTTGAAACTGTTCCCGCTCCGGTTCAGTATGGATTAGTGGCGCCACTGTCTTGGCGCCAATTGATTTTCGTTGTTTCCATCTGCCAGTTGACTGGCGCCAATAATCATTGCATATGGAAACATCGCTTAAAGGCTCCTCTACACGCTGGCCAACGCATTGATAAGGACATTGGACTATCTGTTCACATGTTGGAACTGTTGCAGTGCCGGATGCTCCACTGTTCGATTTTAGACCGCCGGCGCGCATCACGCTGAGAGTGATTCTCATTTGGGTTGATATGGATAACGTGCATATTTTCACCTGCAGGGCAAACGGCTTTACGGATTTTCACATATGAAGTGTCGTTGGATTCGTCTTAGCGGTGCGAGTGACACAAGCTACATTAAAATTTTATACAAAACAAAATGGCGGATTTAAATAAGTGATTTCAACCTTGTAATTCCTATTTTACAGGATAAAGCTTAAACAGCTTTCTAGCTCCACAATAGAGCGTCACTTTACTGTAAAAACTAGATAACACCATTTTCTACATTACCTACATTTTAGATGTTGGAGCAATGCTCATGACGTTAATACTGCACTAGAGTTATAGGTACTTATTTCACAGAACATCCTAAGAACATGTATGTAAGTGTGAAAATGTACGCAACTCGAAAAATAAAAAGATGGAGTTATTCTTTTTGGAGTAAGCTGGCGGTATAACAATAAATGGAAATGACTCAGGCTAAGCAACAATTTTTCTCAATATCTTTTCACGATTTTTCAGTTCTATCAAACTTTTATTCAGTTCTTTGATCCGGAAGACCATCTTTGACCTGGAAAATAGTTTTTTAGCTTTTTCAAGGCAGTCAATGTTGCTGCTCCTCAACAGAAGTTCGGCTATAAAATTTTGCTTTTCTGTCACTATTCCGTCCCCATTGAATATAGTAAGCACTCTGTTCAGGTTCTCAATTTGATCCACGAAAGCTATGGAAGGTTTTGATAATCCACCCTCACTAAGGTGATCCATAAATAAGTTTCATTTGAGTAACTTTTCAACCTATTATCCTGTAATTTCCTCGTTATAATCAGCTGATACTTCAGGTGCATTCAGTTTATTCGTTAATGATGCGGTTAGTGGAATGTCTGGAGTATCCTCTGACTCTACGCTGCAATACTCTGAGTATGCGCCTTCGTTTCGCCCAAAAAATATGACCTTATTCTATACTTCTTTACTTGGATGGTCATGAAGACCACCTTTGGTCCTAATTACTCCCAAAAAGTTTTCTATCACATCTTGATTAAGACGTGTTAACAGGTATTGCACGCTGAAGCGTTGTTTCAGATCCTATGAGCATTTTCGAGCAAACCCTAGCGCTTTTTACATTGTCTTTTTTCTTTTTGTAAGATATAGCAATTTTTTGCTAAGGTTTGGGTCTTGAGGAAAACTGTGAAACTTAATGTCATTGCAAGGATTCCGTTTAGATTGGTTGTCATAATTACATCCCACAACAACACACCGCATTTTTATCAATTTATCAACCACACAGGGTATATAAAGTTTGTATAACTAATACAAGGCACAAAACCACCAAAAATGACCAACAAATCGCACTATATAGTATTAACCATGATACACGTGCACTGCAGTAACGTTACAATCCTGCCGCTGGTAACCACAAGCCGACAACTCTCAAGGTGACGTCACAAACATCCGCCCACATGCGCAACATCCTATCTTCAGTGTATTTGTATCGTGGAACTGTTGGAAGTTGGAAGGACGTTCAGCTTGTTTCGACGCAGGCTGCAGTTTATTCATTTACTGCATATAGGTACTACGTATGTGTGTATCGTTACAAAGATGTAAAAAGAAAATGGAAGAAAAGAAGATGGTGGATGCTGCGTGTACATAAAAATAGAACAAGGTAAGTAATAATATAACCTATATCACACACATCTGTTTACATTTTATTGTTTATGACTAGCATGGAAAACCAACTTGCAGAACTTCTGGTTGAGCCATCTGGAGAATTCAGTAACTTCGTTCGAATGTCAGCCCATGATTGTGAATACCTACTACAAAAAAAATCTCCAAGTGTTGCAAAACAAGATACTGACTGGAGAGATGCCATTCCAGTAAAAGTACGTCTCGCAGTAACATCGAGATATTTACCTACTGGGGACAGTTACAGGAGCTTGCACTATCTATCTAAAATTACAAGCTAGATATATCAAAGATTGTCCCTGAATTATGTTTAGCACTCAACGAAGTATTGAAATATTTAGTGAAGGTCAAGTCAAACTAATTCTACAGTTTACATTAAGTTTTATTAATATAGGTATGTAAAATAACATTTAAAATTCCCAAATTTAACACTCAATGTAAGCAATCTTTTGCAAAGCATATGAAGATTAAGTGAACTTTAAAGTTAAACACAGTACGATAATGGCTTTTTGTGCCCTGTAGAGGGAGTCACTGCTTTATTCTAGATCATTTGTAGCCTGTTCGAATGCTTCACAAAAGATATTGTTTGTTGGTGTTAATGCTTCTTGGGATACAATCTCCACATTACCTGGTATGTGTATAATGGGCAGATTAACTTCTGGTGATTGGACACTGTCATGACATGAAAATGTTTCTTGATTGACGTTCTGTGAAAGCGTATGCGATGAGTCTTAGCGTGAGGAAGAAGGTCGAGTGATTAAAATTTGGGAAGGAGAATGAGAGAAAAGTAGATTGCATGTCAATTCTACGGCTTTTAGATGACGCCTGGCGATTGATCAACTTTTGTTGCAAATGTTCAGGGTATGATGATTGTGAATAAAAACTTTGGGATGATGAAGGACGACTGAAAGATGTAGAAGTGGACTGAATGGTTCGGTCACGGCAACGACGTTTGCTCATCATCAATCCATGTATTTCATACATAATGTCATCTTGTTCTGTTTTACTAAATTCTCTAAGTTGTGTTGCCAAAAGCTTACAAAACAAATCGCACGCATCTTCATCTTTCTTATTGTGTTCATTTTGATTTGAAGTAGTTTGTGACACGCTGTTTAATGTTGGTAATGCCGTAGCCATGTGTATCCTGTAATTCCGGCGGGTTTTTTGCACGACGTTTTGGCACTTGTTTAAAGTTACTTAGAAGATTCCTATTATCTGAAGAAGTAGAGAGAGTACTGTCCTCAGCTGCGGAATGGTTGTTGTTAGTTTGCATGTGCTGGAAACGCTGATCTCTTTGTTGATACAAATAGCCTAAACTTACCATCTAACAATACTAACAATAACCTGCTATACATATTTTTAGCTGATTCAGCATTTCCACTGAGTACACGTATCATTAAGCCATTTCCAGGACATCATGCAGTAGGTACCTACACCAGAGAGGTTATTCAATCAAAACCTGTCTCGTTCTCATGTAGCTGTTGAAAATACTTTTGGGATACTATCTAGTGTATTCAGAATTTTTAAACGCTGTATAGCCCTGGCCGAAGTTAAGGCTTCTACGATTACGATGACATGTGGCTTATTACATAATTATTTAAGAAAAAGTAAAACATCTCGAGATACGTATACTCCTCCTGGTTCAGTTGATAGATATATTAATAATCACTTAGTTCAACCAAGATCCTGGAGAAATAATAACAGGAAAAAATGTTTTGGCCCATTATAGGCTGTACCTTGTAGAGCTTCTGTAAATGCACTTGAAATGAGAATTAATTTTATGAACTATATTTACGAACAGTATCATTAAGCATAAACAGTGTGACAAGTTTCTTTTGAATAAATATAAAACATAATGTTTAGTTTTACTTACATCTTCCTCACTATTCATGATGCTCGAGCTTTCATAAATATCCCTTAGAAAAACTTCCATAGCATTATAGAATGTCCAGATTGGCTGGTAGGTATTATCCTCTCCACACCCCGACTTTAACGATTATAGTTTCTTTTTTAGGTTTCCCCTAAAGGATGTCATTAGACTTTCCTATTCCGTTCTTGTATTGACACACCCATTATGTCAGAGATACATTTCCAGGCATCCTTTACCTAAGCTATATTAAATGGTTTAAGGGTCATTTTTTCCCATATACGTTTGACAGCTCTGCCCCCCAAGTTCACTAGCGCACCTGGTGGAAGTAAAATCGGGAATCGTCCACATTGTATGGCTTAAATTCCAAATTATTAATGTACTGTTAACTTTAGCTTTATTCGGGTTATGTCGAGAACTATCCCAGAACCGTTCTCGAAGTGCCAGTATAACCAATCGTAAAGCATTTCTTACATCACGAGACCCTACTGCGCACAATCAGAACGGTTCTGGGATAATACTCTGGCTTCGTTCCAACAAAGCCGTGTACTGTACAGTGAACCGTCATGAGCGTGCGCAGTAGGTACGTTTTTAGTGTCACTTAAAACGTACTGCGCACGCTCATGACGGTTTACTGTACGGTACACGGCTTTGTTGGAACGAAGCCTCTGTAAACCCCGAATAAGGCTTTTATCTTGCAGTTACAGATGTCATTAATGTCAAAATGGTCCAATCAAAATTTGTTATTGGTACTGAACATTAATAATTTGGGCTCAAGGCTAAATGAATTAGTTTTACGCTACAATCCAGGCTGTAATAATTAACCCTTAATAGCTACTCTTCCAAAACAATCACTTTTGAACTACCCAAGGGTCAATATGACCCAGATAAAAAAAATTAAATTTAAAAGAAAAACAACATCAAAATAATTTTATTGACAAAAGTAAACAAACGTTTATATTGTAATATAACATGTAAGTGTTGAAAAGCAAATCAAAAACAATTTGGGCATATCTTTTGGCACAATTACGACATACTGGATTTTTACAGCTGTCACAGAAGGTACTAGTTTTTTGGTCCTTTTTAGATGGGCAAGTAGCACACCGCTTTCTTTTGGAAGGAGGAATGCGTTCAGTAGACTGTGCTTCAACATCAAGAGAAATTCCCAGTATATTCGCCATCAAACTTCTGAGTTTACGGGGAATCTTATTATTGTACATACGAACCATAATATGGCGTTGACATAAACTACGAGCTAAATTAAACAAGAAATTCCTTCTTGTTATTTCTTCTCCATTTTTAGAAAATTGAAGTAATACTCTAGAATTGATTCCTGCAACATTTAGCATCATGTGGAATAATGCCATGGGCCAACGGCGAGTTTTCCTGGAAGTTGAATAATTGGAACATTTTTGATCGAGGGCATCTACTCCAGCTTTTGTGTCGTTGTAAAACAAAATGATTTCCGGTTTTTTTGTTTCATTATCAACAGATGAATCATTATGCATACTGGAAATCAAAATCACTGACTTGTTTTTCTTCGGTACATATGAAACGAGAGTTTTTCCAGAAGTAAAGCCGAACTCTGTTGAAAATTCTTGACGCAATCTAGACGGCAAAAATTCTTTAGGAATACACCTTTTCCACGTAGGTTACATTTACTTTACTTAACTCATCTACCAACTCTACAGAAGAATACCAATTGTCACCTGTGATATTTCTATTCTTCCAATTACCGATTCCACCAAGCGAAGAACAACTTGTGTTGGTTGAGATAATTTGCATTTACTTTTCTCCAGCGACTTTCCCGCATAAATTTCTGCATTTAGCAAATAATGAGTTTTTGAGTCTGCAAGAACTTGTACTTTAAGACCGTATTTAGCGGGCTTGCTTGGAATAAACATCTTAAAACTGCAGCGTCCGCGAAACGGTACCAACATCTCATCTACGGTCAAGTATTCCCCGGGTGAGTAGTTTCCTTTACAGTTTTGGATAAATTCTTCAAAAAGATTTCCTAAAGCGGCTAGTTTGGTATTTTTCATTCTTTCTTTTCGTGTTAGTTCGTCGTCAAATCGAAGGCAGCATAAGAGAAAGGAGAACCTAGCAAGTGACATCGTGCATCTAAATATGTCACGTCCCGTTCCATCAGTAGCCCAAAGGGACCTTAAATCTTCATGGCCTGACTTGTATAACCCAAGGAAGTATAGAAGACCAACAAATGCCTCAATTTCTGTTTTGTCAGTTTCACCAATAAATGAAGGCCGAAATTCCGACCTGCTATTGCTCTTCTTCTTGAACTTTCCATAATGACTTTGAACTGATCTGATTTTTGTATTAGTATGAGTTATAATTTGTCCAAATATTTCATCTGTCAGAAGCAACTTCCAGGCTTGTAAGGCAGATTGAGGTTTGTGTTGTGCTGCATTTCCTTTCAAACCGGGCAAAACTTTTATGATGTTTTTTGCAAGAGTCTTTCCTCTTACTGGAGCAGTAGTAGACCATTTTGTTCTATCTTTTCCATACAAAGCTTTTGGAACTTCCTTTCTGTTTAAATTCACATCTTCATTACTGGTACTAGCTGAATGTTCTTCGTCTTCATTTTGTTCGTCGGAAGGCTGCCATTCCTGCTCACTGTCCGTATCGTGGGTACTTAGTTCCTCTTCGTCTTCCTCTTCTTGATCGCTCTGGTCCCCAAACGTAAAAAGTTTTTCGCATGCATCACGTTTATCCTCCTTTTCAATAGTATTTTCATTGTATTCGTAAGTGGAAGATGACGATGATGCAGTATTATTCACGTCGAAATCCTCCCAGAACTCATCAGACTCAATAATTTGTTCCAGCTCTTTATCAGTAAGTCCTTTAGCCATTATAACCTGAAAACATCAAAAAAAAAAATACTTCATAAAAAAAACTAAAAATGGTGGTTAAAACTTACCTTTTCATATAAAAAATACTACCAATAGTTCATAAAATATTCAAGTAATTCGGAACAAAATAATAACGTTTATACTATCCACGGGTCATTTTGACCCAGTGGCTGCCATTACAGTCGAATGAACTACGTCACTAGATTAAAACTACGATGCACATTTACTTCAACAGCGGCTGAACGAATACTGAACCACCGCCAGCTGTTCACGTTTAATATAAAGATACGAAGTGGGGGGGACCTCATATCGATGGGTCATTTTGACCCGTGGGTAGCTATTAAGGGTTAAATTACAATATTAAATCTATGAAAGGTAATAAATTGTTTACTTACTAAATTTTTGATTTTGTGGTGCTTGTTTTGAGGATTCCAAATACAGTTTTCGGTCTGGTAATGTTCTATGAATTGAAAAAAGTCTTCGTTACTCATCGTCGCCATTATGTACATCAAATACACAATGAACAGTCACAAAATCTCTAAGCACCACAGAACAAAAGCACTTAAAAACACCCGTGCCCTACAATAGCTGATCACATGCTAGGTTACTAGGCCAGTGATTCCCAATTCGCCAATTCGACAATGTGGCCGACAAACACTGGCCAGCGTGTAGAGGAGCCTTCAGAACAGAGGCGTGGTCGACGATCAGCTGGAACCACACCTCCTGCCACGCCTTTTTGATTTTGATACTTGCCAGTTGTCATTTAAATTTGGTTGAGGTTATGTATGATATATTTTAAAAAAAAGGAAAAACAAAAAATGTCTTTTTACAAACACTCGTTCAAATTATTGAAAAATGTTACAAGCAGAGCTTGCTACTGGAACAGATTAGGTTTGTAGCAGTGATAGCTTCGCTCAACCAACCCTAAAAACAACCTAACGTTACAGAAACACGCCAAATCCACAGATGGGTGGCCCCCACTTTGAAAGTACTGAAACATAGAAGAGACAGTCTGGGACCTGAACCTCAAAAGCCAAGATCCTCTTTTATAGAATGGAACTATGAAGCTGAACTATTTGCTTTTGGAAAAAGGTTAGGGGATGAGTTTGATAAAAAGCTACTTCATCAGGCGTTAACATCAAGAGAGTACGCGAATTTAAAAGAGTTTCAAGCTCAAGAAAAAGGTATAAATTGTACCTCTTGTTTTCGTCACTATTGCATTCAATAACAATACGTTTTTTGCAGGTATAGAATTAACAGACAATGTCCATAATGATGAATTAATTCAAGAGGGAGAAGAGATTATTTTAAAGACTATCAAAGAAGAGTACAAAAAAGACTACCCAGAAGATCTTGTCAATGCAGTTTGTAATTATTTAACTAGTGAGGATATGCTGGGCTCTCTAGGCAAAGGCATAGGACTGAAAGATATTGTTTTAACTAATGTAAGTAATTGTTAGTATTGTAAAAAAAACTTCCATTATGCTTTTTGAGTCTGCTTATGTATTAAGACTCCTTATTCTATCACAGTGTTACTTTACTTTCCAAAAAATTAGTTCTACAAATATCACCAATTAGAAATCTTGTGGTATTGGTGTGTTATTTTCATACTGAAGCTGAAGTCGTGGTTACTCAGCAGTACTTAATCATTCCCTCATCACTCTGCCACCCAATCTACCTTGATAGCTTTGAAATAAATTAGTCACATATGATAAATTTATCAAGTTTTGCAAAAAAAAACATAAATCTGTAGTAATAGATCGCTGATCTCTTAATTATTCATTTTTGAACCGTTCAGGTCTATCAGGCTCATATTAGGATGTACGGTTGAGTTGAAAAATACCATCATAGTAACACTCCACCGATTCGATTCCCAAAATTTTAGTCACTTATCAATGTTGGAAAAGAATCGAATAAAGGTAATTTATTATTATTATTATTTGGCCATGTGTTGGGTATTTTTCTCTATTTTTAAACAAGTAATCAGGTTTCCAACATATATATAAACATGCAAGTGTACTCTGGATCTCTTAAATACAAGATGTTCTAGCACTAACGCCTGCTGTACATCTGATAATTCTTTTCTGTTTCATGAACACATCTTTTGAATTAGTGGAGATCCCCCAAAATGATATGCCATATCTTATGACAGAGTCAACCTGTGCATGATGCAAACTAATTAACTGATTTAATGGTAGAATATCTCTTAAAGTTAACAATAGATAATATAATGAATTGAGCCTGTTTATTACATGGTCACAGTGCTGCTTCCACACCATACAGGAATCCAAATACACACCAAGGAATTTTATATATTTCACATTATTGATATTAATATTATTTCATTTGAAACTGAGTTCGTTGCATTTTTTTTTGCCCTGTGTGAAATCAAAAACATTGTATCTTGTTTAGATTTAAATATAAATTATTATTTGAAAACCAGTTATGCAGCCTAGACAATGAAACATCTATATTATCTACGAGTATATTGTAGTCTGAAAAACCATAAGCTACAATTGAGCTTTCATCTGCAAATGAAGTTATCAATGCATCAGGTACAATATTAGGTAACTCGTGTACATAAAGCAAAAATAAAATAGGGCCTAGATCAGTCCCCTGTGGGACACCTATTAAACATTCAGAATCCCAGAACTGACTTCAACCCTAGTACCAACAGAGTTTAAATGCACAAGGCTTGCCTGGGGAGAGTGATTTGGTTGGTGAAGCTAAGTTTCTGGGGGTTACTCTGAATCCAAGATTGCAATGGGCCCTTCACATTGACAGTGCTGCTGGAACGGCCACCAAAGGAATAAGTGTTTGATTTATTTTTGAACCACTTTTAATTTCCACCAATGATGATAAAATCAACACACTTCGAAGCGGGATGACACTCCCCTATGAAAACTACATGAATACTGACCAAAATCGTTCATCTATGATCATGGAGGTGGAAACCTTGCCTTGGAATGTTTTAGATGCGGAGTTATCAAACAAAGCAATGTTGCAGAATTTGTGGCAATCCTGACCTTTTATTTCAATCTAAAATGGCCGTTAAGACTGAACGGGAATCAAAATGTGTACACTCAAAGTAAAACCGTTATTTGGACATAAAGAATAAACTAACGCATATTTCCAATATGCATCTTAATTCAAGGAACTGGTATAATATACGCGGCAGATGGCCCCGTCAGCTTTGCTAGGCAACGCGGTGATGAGATGCGCTATCCAGGCGGTTTCTATCTCCTTCTAACATATGTGCTTATATACATGTTTCTCTCTCGTACATATTGAACTCAAGACTTCAGACAAATTTGGTTTTCAGTGTATAGCTATTTTGTTGATATTTGTAGTTGAAGTTGGGAATGGAGCCCACCAGGGGACTGAACATTTTAATTTCCAAGCATATGGTGCCTAAATCTTGATGGTAACCTCAATTTCATCACATGTTCCCTACAGTCTTGCGTGTTTTTATAATAATATTAATTTGTACTGATTTTTTCCTTAAATATAGTAATATGTAATGAATTTTGAAATAACTTATTTTAATTATTTTTCTCTTTTCGTCCAAAAATATGTATTACAGAACTTGACTTAGTAAACATATATTTTGCGTTAAGGTTTTTTGCAGGTTAGTCAACGTTTTTGTTTACTGTACATAATATTACCATTTATGTATTTGTTAATACTTTTTATTTGTTATTATTTATTCATCTATTTAATATTATAAGCTATAAACTGATTTTGTTGTTGTAAACTGTTTTCTGACGTTTAATTTATGAATATTTATGTTGGTTTGGGGAGGATTAGTTATGTTTTTAAATCCACTTAATGTATGTAAACTGTTAGTTTTAAATAAACTATCTACTTTTTTTTAAATTTCCTGATGTTATTTCAATTATCTGCTTGGGCGACTTGTTTTTACAGCAATTTATAATTTGATTTAAATAACAATTAAAATAGAAAAAATGGTTTATCAAATGTTTTATGCAATAGCGTATTTCTTCTTATTTAGAAGAGACGAGAATAATCCGATTTCTCAGGCTTGGTGGATTTTGACATCTGATGTGTCCTGTTAAAGAATGCTCTACCAACATTGAGATTTAACTTTCAATTACATTCCTTTTAATTTTGGCAATATTCTAATTTTTGATGTATTTTTATCTTCCAGGAGTTTCCTGTAGAAACTAAAACCCTATCAAATGCCTTTAAAGCAATAGTAGCAACTGTGCAAAGATCTTCAAACTCAGCAAGTGCACAAAAATTTGTACAAGACTTTGTCCTTGCTCAAATGAATGGCAAAGATGTGTATGAGATCTGGAACCCTGCTGAACCATACAAGTACCTCACCGAATTGTTAAATGAAAAAGGCATCACAAGCATTGAACCTAGACTGTGCAATGAATCTGCAAAAAATACCATTTTGGCATGTTTCCAAGTTGGGCTTTACAGTGACAAAAAACTTTTGGGAATAGGTAAATTAAATCGTTAATACACAATGATTGCTGTTGAATTTCAGTCAAAATGAATGTTTTAAAAATACTAACATCTATCAATTTTTAACATGCTTTTATTATTAGTGTGTAACAGAATCTTTCTACCTAATTTTCATCAATTTCAAGAAATCTGATTAACTTAAAAATTTACACAATGGTTAACGGCCGATGACAATATGTACATTGATGTTCTTACCACTTCGTTTAAACTCCAACTACTTCTAGATTAGATATATATACCTAACCTAAGAAGACGAGTTATCGGTTGATTCAAACCATAATTTGTTTGATGAAAAGGGACAAAGAAAGTATCAGTCTGTCGCGTTCTCCTATCATTCAAATTAAGTGAAATATTTCCTAACAGTTGAGGACAATTAGTGTGAAAATTGATATTTTTGTGCGAGAGAAGCAAGTTAAATTCGAACCTGCGTCGCTCGTGATATTCATGTAGAGAAGAGTATCAGAATAACTATACTCCTCCCCAAAGAAACCCATTTTATATCCACAGATTCTCAAAAAAATTTCTGTACATGCTCTAAATCAGATGGAGCAGCAGTCCTCAAGGAAGGAACAAACCAAGAAACATTACAAACATTTAAAAGAAAAAAGTGACAGAGCAACACTCATTGCATGGAATTCCAGAAGAGTATCGTGTGGATCTCATTCCAAATTGATTAATCGTATTTGATTGTTGAATTGCATTAACACAAACTCCGCTAGACTTGAAAGATAGTTCCTACTTTTTAATTCGAGTTGCTATTATTAGAGCGTCTTTTTTTAAATATAATTTATTTTTAAAGGTCCACGAGTATTTGAAACCTTGCTCAGGCATTTGTGTGATTCCAACACCAAAATCAAATTGAAACATTTCTTTTTTTCGAATGTACTTCACTGATAGCTTGCTTTCCAATATTTTCTATTTTTTAGGATGGGGAGAGAATGTTGACATAGCAAAAGAAACAGCAGCCTTGGACGCCATTCAAAGGATACACAAAAACCAACCAAAAACTCAATAGTATTGTTTAATTTCTTATAAAATTCAATAAACGTTCTGTTATAAAAATATGTGCAAAATATATATCTACAAATTAAGTACGGAATTTTGAAAGACGGTATCACAATGGTTACGAATGGGAGTCATGGATCAACAGACCATTAGAATCTTTGATTCTTATCCTTCCTGTAGCATAACGGGTTTCTTGGGTACCATCTGGGTAGACGATCTTCACTGTGCCATCTGGGTACTCACGTCTCTGAAAAAAATGGCGTCGAGTAGATTGATTCTGTACTTATCAGTTAATGATGGTCAAATAAATGACTTTGAATATGCAAGGGTGCAGTAATGGAATGTAGATTGACAGATGATACTCTCGAATACTATAATCAAATCCAAGCGGATAACCAAAATTTCGGTATTATGTACCGCGGTTATAATATGGTTCAAGATGACACACGGGTTGATGACGTCAGTTACACGAATCGCTTGAACGCGTTGGTTTTAACCGCGGTTTTGTGCAAGTTGTTTATTTTAGAAAAGCGCGTATATAATCTCTATATATCACTTAATAATCGGTGCTTTTTCGTCTATAACTGTATATGGAAAGTTTAAATAAGAAACCTTTCATAATATTCATGGGAGAAATGTTTTTTCAGATTTTTTTTTTTAATGATGGAACCATGGCTTTGTAGCTATGATAACTTTCAATTCTCTAAATTTTTCCGCATTTCAAAGAAAACATTTATTGATTCAGCAGAAATGATGAAAAAAGATATTAGCAAAACCGTATACAGGTGGATATCATCTAGTGAGTTTATATGGCCATATTTTAATATTCTTGTGGTATATGGCTACACAGGATACTTTGTTAAGCATAGGAACTACATTTAAAGTGTCCCCAACAACCGTAATGAGTATAACTAATAAGGTGCTCCACTTTATGGTAAAAGTGAAGTCAGCCTGTATCATTTTTCTCAAAAATGAAGCTGAAGTACAATAACAATATCCAATAGCCGGCAAAATTCTAACTTATCACATTTCAAATAATAACCAGAAATATAAAACTACTCTTGAGTTGGGTAAATACCACAATTTTGCGGTGATAACTATGACATATAACAGCTGATTCGTGACGTCACGGATCTTATAACCAAACTGATAACTACAATCACTTGAACGGATTGGTAAATACCAAGGCAAAATGGTAAATACCATTTCCATTTGGTTATCCGCTTGAATTTGATTTATGTATCTTTGGAATGCTTACATTGTTAGTAATAATTTCTAACTATGTTTTCTGTGACCACTTTTTATAAAAAAAAAATACGCATCAACATAGCTCATTTATCGTTAAAAATATATATTCAGCTAATTTTGAGCACTTTTTGGTAATGAAGTAAACAAATATTGATCCACGAAAATGACAAGTGTGAACACTCTTATTTCCAAGGTTTAGAGCACGGGAAGAAAAGCTCAGGCGCAGACCAACATATACAAGGTGGCAAAATTTATAGGGTAGGAGGTGCCTCCAAAAATAACAAAAAACGTCCCTATAAATAAGGGTCCAGAGATGCTCCCTTTTTTTATTTATGAAATTAAAAAAATATACGGAGCGGGTAAAGATACTGAGCTAAGATTTTAGAAGTTCACTGAGCACATCATAAGCAATAAATACACAGAGTTTCTCGGCCCAGCACTTACAACCTGAGGTACCTGGACCCCTAATCGGAAATATTTTCTACGCAAATGGCCTGTGTTTTGTAAAATACCATTTAATTTCCCATAAATTTTGTCTCAAGGAATTTTTGTTAGAATAACTGATTTTGGAGATATTTAGGTTTGAATGTTTGAAGTGAAATGATAAAATATTTCTATAAAAATGTTTAGCCTCCCCTATTCAGAAGCTTGATACTGGAAGCACTACATGACATGAGAAGAAAGCTATGGCACATTGTAACAATCGGTAGCTTTCCATCATTAAACTTTTCCTGTGCACGCCACTGGTTTTGCCGGCTTTTTTTGTTTATAGATAAAGAAACATTATCAACAATAAACATTACATTTGGTACAAGTTGCGTGGTTATTTCTAAATTTACGAGAACAAATTAAGTGCTGAATAAATGCTGTAACACCCAACCTAAAGGAGGTGGTGTTGAAAGTGACCACCTCTGGATTCAACACAAACCCGTGCTCTACGCCACAAATACTTTCTGACTCTTTGGAAAATACCTGGCGTAGTAAAAACAGTGTTGAAAGCCTCTTTTGGTCTGTTTGTTTTTAAGGAATTCAAATATAACTTATACAGAAATATTTTTTTTTAAATTCAAAAGTATTGAACATATAAACAGCGATTTGGGGGTATATAATAAAGATCTCTTTTGCACTGTTTTTATGAATAATTTATTGTATTATTTGTAAAGAATTTAGATGGTTGTTATTCGGGGATCCTCAGATAATAATTCCATAGGTTATGTGGCATTCAACTAGTGTTTGACATATAATTTTTAATTGAGTTTCACTGAAAATGTGTCTGTAATATCTGAACTTATACAACAGAAATCTAGATGCAACATACAACTATATGACCACCAATTTTCAACCCCTACACAAAATTTTCTGAAAATGATTAGGAGCCTCTGATACGTCAAAAAACGAAGTTTGGACGGTTTTTCTTCTTTTTTTAGTTCTTAGCCACCACTGGACCGATTATCAAAAACTACAAAACCTTTTCGTCAGCATAGTAGTAACCTTGTGTAAAAACTTCATCAAAATCCGAGCGGTACTTTCCAAGTTATAGCGCGAGGGTCAAGGATTAGCAGACAGACAGACACATGATCTTACCTACAAAAAAGTATGTAGTACATTTTTTTACCTTATGTTCTTTTGTATGAATTTCTTTCTGTCCATTCGGAAGGAGCAGTGTTTTTTCTCCATTAACATGCTTGATCATTTTGGATTTATCAAAGTATAGGACTTCTTCAGTGCCATCTGCATGTTTTGTGACTATATTGCCATCTGAACACGTGATTTCAATCTTGCCGTCTTTAAACTTCCTCTCTTTTTGACCACTAAAAAACAGTATTATAAAAAATTAATGGCTCAAGAATCGGTTTAAACGTGTTCCTAGACTTGATCATAGGATTATGTTACGTAAATTGGAAACAAATGATGTATCTGGAAAAGTGCTGAAATGGTTTTCAGATTATCTGACCAACAGGATACAAGTAACTAAGATAAATAATGTTATTTAATCAAAGATGGAAAATGATTTAGGAGTTCCCCCTGGGTAGTATTCAGGGACCACTTCTTCTCATCTTGTATATAAGTGATTTGCCCAAAATGCTATAAAACTGCAAAATTCAAATTTTTGTTGGTGATACTTCATTTTACATAAATACTCAAAATTTTCAATCAGCTATCTCTCTCTCAATAGTAGTGATTTGAAACTTGTATCAGGGTGGCTAACATCTATCAAATTAAAATTGAACACAAACAAAAACAAAAGCTATAGTTATTAGGAGAAATGATATTACAAATTTATACCCAAATATTCGTGGCAGAAACATTGGTTTTGCAGATTCTCTTAAATATCTTAACATTGTTGTTGGTAATAGGTTGCATTTTGAACAACATTACAAAAAAATATCAGTACAGTTAGTTGTATAGTAGGCTATCTATCACGTATTTCTGAGTTTAGAAGAGAAAATCGTTTGTATTTTTTGTGTAGCACAAATGGCTAATGATTCCGTTTTCCAAAGATTACAGATTTTACAAAATAAATATACGCGAACAATACTAAACAGAAATAAATATACGCCAATCAATCAAATGCTCCGTACGTTAAAATTTCTTAACATTAAGAATTTCATTAAATACCTAGTTATGATTTGCATTTATGAAATAAAAAATAATTTATTGTCATTCATGTCATGTGCACCAACTTCCGTAAATGCCAACTGCATATTATTTGTAATGTAGTCGATTTTCCAAAACAAAACAAAAAATAGCTTTTTACTTTTAAAATCAATACTAACGTAGCAAAAAAATCAAAGATGGCAATCAGATCTTATAGGAGATTTATCCCAGTTTTCGGAAATATCCTTACATTCTCTGTGCCATAACTGGTTACCAAGATACCAGTGGTCGATGACAAAAGGATCCTTTTTCATTCAAAGTCAGATCGTATCGCGATTTTAAAATCAGAATATTGAAGCTGAATAAACGAGCTATCTGATCCATATGATGGCCTAACAGAAGAAAGTTCAAGCCCGTGGAATAAAAAGGCAAAAACTTTATCTCTTAGAGACTTGTTGTTGGGCCTTCTGGGACTCGTCCTATTGGTCCAGGGTTTGTCTTTCAGCATGATAATGACCCCAAACACACATCCAAGCTCTGTAAACAATTTTTGGAAACAAAAGAACACCAAAATATTTTGAAAGTCATGCAATGGCCTCCCCGGTCGCCAGATTTGAATCCGATAGAGTTGGTGTGGGATGAACTGGACAGTACAGTACAGAAATGATGTCCTACATCTCAAGATCACTTTTGGAGAACATTACAAGACGAATGGCGGAAAATAACCCCATCCACCTTAGACAAATTAGTTGCGCGTTTACCCCTCATTTGCTGAGCTGTAATTAAAAGTAAAGGAGGACAGATTGATGAGTCAAAAATATGATTATTTTGATTATAAATAGTTGTATGTTGTTAAGAATTAAGAAAATAAATGTTTCATACATATATTGGAATGTTCAAATACTTCTGAACGGTAGTGTATATTTTGCAGTTTCCAGTATTAATTATATTTCGGGATCCAGTCCTCAATATTACATAATTGTGTAGTAGTGGCTTTCCATACTTTTTATCACGAGGTTCAAAGCAAAGGAAAAATGCGCCCGTCCGGTCCTGACTGCCGTTCACCTTGATGATCTAGTGGCGCACCGTCCTATTCGCTTCATTGTGGTTTTCGTGCTTGTGCGACAAGGTTCATTGCGTTCGCTGCCTCAGCTAATAAACAGAGACGAAAAACCGAGTGATATCGCTTGACTTGATACCCCAGGTAATTCTTTTTGAATTATTCTCAAATATTTTCGCCTTTAACATAGGAGATTCAGGGCCTATTTAACGGGACTCCTTAGAAGCATCATACAATTTACTTTTATTTCAGCCCGATTTTTCAGGGATTATTATGGGTAAATCCAAGCGTCATAAGAAGAAAAATCGCTCACCGAGCAACGCCAAGGGTAATAGTGATTGCGACACGTATACCTACTTATTAGAAAGAATGGAGAAACTAGAGACTTCTTATTCAACCCATAGTCGTTTGTCACGACAAAGGCGTCGCTCAGAACACACACGCAGTCCAAGCGTGTCGTACCGTCGCCGCATGCCGCGTCGATCGATTTCGAAATCGAGAAGCCGTTCCCGCTCTGGCGCTTCTCACTCTTCCTCCCATCGTAATCGGAGAGAGAGAGAATCTCGATCGCCGATGACACCGATCCATGCTCGAACCTTGCCGGTTCAAGATGAGGAGCAGCTATCTCCATCTCTCCAGCTGGTGAATGCAACGTTGCCACGTGCAGAAGCAAATACCGAAAATATGGATTGCGGAGACGACACTTTGATCTTATATAACGATGTAACCTTACCTGAGGACATCTTAAAGCTTATGGGAAAAGATGTAAATACAGACCAAAGCGCTGTTTTTTCCCTGCACGATCAACTTACTACGATCTGGCAAACTATTTTGACTAATGGCTTGAAAAAATCTGATGCTCAAACGCTTTTTAATGCATACCAAACATCAGAAAAACTATCATTCCTTAGACCTCTCGAATTGAATCCGGAAGTAAAGGCTGCCTCGTCAAAACAAAACATCTCTGTGGACGCATCTTATGTCGAGATGCAAAATCAACTAGGAAAAGGCCTGGCTGCACTAGGTAGATCAATTTCCACGATTCTCATTGATTTAGAACATATGCCAGATCAATTCAAGGGCGATTTCCTTACTAATCTATGTGATAGCGGACGAATTCTAACGAATCTCTTCCATCGCATGTCGGTTACACGAAAGAACCTTCTCGTTCCTGGTCTAAAAATATCTAAAGAACTGGCAGATGACTGCCTACCCGGAGAATTTCTTTTTGGTTCTAATTTAACTCAGAAATTAGACACAGCAAAATCTCTTCTAAATGTGAGTAAGGATCTGAAACTCCCGACTTATCAGAATAAAGTGGGCGCTTCTAAACCAGCACTCGCTCCCAGAAGGGCACAAAAGGAGGAGGGGGACAAACCCGAGCTGTCTATACAGAAACCTCAAGATCATCAGGGTCTTTAAACTCTCGCCCCCCGACTCACCGATTGGGGGTAGTGAGTCACGAGAGGGGCCCCTCATCCAGATTTCACAAAAACACCTATTGGAACAAACCACAAGAGAAGAGGAGACGACATTAGAATTGGTAAGCAACTATGCAGGTCGCTTGAATTCTTTTTATCAGAAATGGTTAACCCTTACTGACAATCGTATTGTTTTGGGTTGGATCTCAGGATATAAATTACCATTTGTTAAAACACCTATTCAGCCACAAATCCCAAATAACGCTAGTCATTCATATGATGAAAACCAATTAATCGGTTCCGAAATTAGTAGGTTACTAAATTCTGGGGCTATAGAAAAGTGTCACGGTAATGTAACTGGGCAGTTTGTTTCTCCCATTTTTTAACCGACAAGCCTAACGGTGGAAAACGCTTTATTTTAAACTTAAAGCGATTAAACGAATTTATCTACGCTCCGCATTTTCAGCTAGAAGACGCCCGAACAGCAAGTAAGTTAGTGCATCGTGGCAACTATGGAGCCACGCTAGACTTGAAAGACGCCTATTATATGCTAGCAGTTCATCGTGACCACAGAAAATATTTACGATTTTCTTTCAAGGATGTTTTATATGAGTTTACTAATGAAACCAATCGTCAACCACGTGAGAGCCAGGGCCGTACCCTGCGTAATTTATCTGGATGACTTTTTGGTTTTGGGACCATTGACGAGTGTTCTAGAAACATTCGTTTGGTTGCTTCTCTTCTAATTTCTCTGGGATTTGTTGTCAATTGGCAAAAGAGTGTCCTCTCACCTTCTACGGAATTTAAATTTTTTGGGTTCGTTTTTCTATCGAAATGACCATAGAATTACCACCAATAAAACGTCAAAAATCTCAAATTGGATAACGTTTTTTAAAAACGCACTCTACTTGTAAAATTGTAAAGTTAGCCCAGTTTCTCGGGTTGCTTACATCCGCTTGCCCAGCAGTGAAGTACGGATGGTTGTATACCAAAATATTAGAAAAGGAAAAGTTCCTTGCTTTGTGCCAACACTCCCAAAATTACAATGCAACTATGTGCATTAACCAGACGATAATTGAAGAACTTTATTGGTGGGAACACCATATCAATACTGCTATAAATGATCTTAAACGAGATCATTTTCACCGAGAGATCTATACAGATGCTGGTTTGTCAGGTTGGGGCGCCTTTTGCCAAGGCGAAAGTATCTATGGTCGATGGACGGAACAAGAATCAAATATTCACATAAACATTTTGGCACTAAGAGCTATATACTTTGGCCTAAAATGTTTTGCCAGAGATTTATCAAATTGCAACGTTCTTATTCGAACGGACAATTCCACGGCACTAGCTTATGTCAATAAAATGGGCAGCGTGCAGCACCCGCAATTAAATGAATTGACAAGAACCATCTGGAAGTGGTGCGAATCTAAAAATTTATGGATATTTGCTTCCTACATTCCTTCATCAGAGAGCTGGCAAGCAGACCGTGCGTCTCGCGTTTTGCATACCGAGACAGAGTGGTATCTTAACCAACATGCCTTTGACGCAATAGCTCAAACTTTTGGGATCCCTGATATCGATTTGTTCGCGTCCGTAGCTAATCACAAATGTGATAGATACATGTCTTGGTTAAGAGATCCTAGCTCGGAAGAAATTGATGTTTTCACTGTATCTTGGAAATACTTGAACTTTTACGCGTTCCCACCCTTTTCAATGGTTCTGAGAACCTTACAGAAAATTATCAGTGACGAAGCATCAGGTATCTTGGTGGTTCCTCTTTGGAAGAACCAGCCATGGTACCCATTATTTATACAATTAATTATAGGAAGTCCAATCTACTTTGGACCCTCAAGTAATCTCCTGCTTTGCCCTTTCAGCCAAAAGAAACATCCATTATCGGAAAACCTTATCCTGGTGGCGACCAGATTGTCAGGCAAGCTTTTCAACGAAAAGGGATTCCTCCGGAGGCTGTAGACACCATGATGAACTCCTTGAGTGGCAATACGATTTCTCAATACAACTGTAGCCTAAGACTTTGGTGGGAATTTTGTCAACTGAGGGACATATCCCCTTTTAAATACGACGTACACAATATCATTTCATTCCTACAGCAGGTTATGAACACATCAAATAATACTTATAGTTCCTTCAATTCCCATAGGGCGGCTCTTTCCCTCATCACTTCTAGCGATTTAGGGACAAATACAGAGGTAAAACGATTTATGAAAGGAATTTTTCGAACTAGACCGCCTAGGCCTAGATATAATTTTACGTGGAATCCTCAAGATGTACTTAAGTTTTTAAATAAACCGCCCGATAAAGATCTAAGATCCGTATCCTGTAAATTAGTTGCTCTCTTAGTGTTAGCTACCGGACAGAGAATCCAGACTGTTGCTCTTATTAGATGTCCTAATATTAAATTTTCTACCTCAGGGGCAGACATCCAAATCCCCGATTTTGTGAAAACTTCAGGGCCTAAAACACTTCAACCTAAGTTGTCATTGCCATATTTTCATGAATGTCCTAACTTGTGTGTTGCTTCTTGCCTACATCAGTACCTGGAACTAACTAAACCACTCCGCCCTGCCGATTGTGATAAGCTATTTCTCACCTTCAATAAACCACATGGCCCAGCTACTAAGCATACCTTGAGTCGCTGGGTAAAAAATACAATGGCAAAGGCAGGAATCGACACAAATATGTTCAAACCCCATTCCTCAAGGCACGCTTCCACTTCATGTGCGCTAAGACAAGGGGTGCATATAGATGCAATACGCAGATCAGCTGGTTGGAGCCAGGACTCTCAAACCTTTGCAAGGTTTTACAATAGACCTCTAGTAGAGAAAGACAATTATTTAACATCTGTCTTGAATCTATTATCATCAGAAACATAGAGGATATACTTACGGTTATTTGAATTTGTTTAACGTTTGTATCAACTTTTTCGTTTTTCTTAAAATAAAAGTTTCTTCCACCTGTCTTACTGCAACTTCCTTTAAACAGCTACACAATTATGTAATATTGAGGACTGGATCCCGAAATATAATTTATCGATCAAACGAACTTACCTGAAGTTCGATCGTAATTATATGAGGGTCCAGTCCGAAAATATTACAAACCCTACCCCTACCCGCCCCTGAGAGTTGCAGGTAATACATCTGGATACTTTGAAGAATGAAGCGAATAGGACGGTGCGCCACTAGATCATCAAGGTGAACGGCAGTCAGGACCGGACGGGCGCATTTTTCCTTTGCTTTGAACCTCGTGATAAAAAGTATGGAAAGCCACTACTACACAATTATGTAATATTTTCGGACTGGACCCTCATATAATTACGATCGAACTTCAGGTAAGTTCGTTTGATCGTTAAATTTTGAGTTATCCTATAAGAGAATTTTACTGCATCTACAATGCGGACATAAATGCATTTCCGGGGTACTTCACGATTTTTTATTGGTCTTGTTCAAGGTCAGCGCTGTATCTTTCATCAACTCATAATAATGGAAAACAAGAATGGATCTTTTCCGCTACAAAGCATTTATGAAAAATCTTACTTTGGATATTCCAGAAGTTCATTACCATCACTGAACTGTGTATGCCACGTACAATTTTCAGCATAGTAGTATCTCAATGTATTCTCCAATAAATTTGTCTCCTTTATATCTCCATTGAAATATTGGACTATTACAAGATTTCCATCTGGCGATATTGTCTTGCTTTTACCATTGCTATATTTTATTTCTTTTGAACCGTCTGGAAACAACGTTTCTGTTTTTCCTAACAAAAAAAAGACAAACCATTTAAAAACTTAAACAAGTTAAACAAGATGTTTCGTCCGTCCGACCAAGAAAAGAAGACTCATCAGCATGGTATAGGCTTGGTCTCTTATTATTATATGGGAACTGAGATCCATGACAGTTCCGACTAATAGCAGCGGTGCGCGATCCACAATGGTTCGATCCTGGTGCGATAGATGGCGCTTCGCGCTATTTCATGCCAATTTAAAAAGTGTGACCATATCAAACAAAATTCGTAAGGAAATGAAACTCTAAAACAAAATAGGCCATCAACTCTTCCTTCATGCAGAAAAATGTAAAACAAAGTTGCAAGGTTCGAAAAGGGTAAAAAAAAATGGTGACCTTGAACGTAACTTTGATCATGACCTTAAAGGTTATTTGAACGTCGAGTTTTACTAAATTTTTGACATGGGAAACGACCTCGAAGGCCATCGACAAGAAAACACTTGAACGTCATTTTTCCGCGCGCTTTTCAGGTGTTAAATATAAAGGATTCTGATTAAGAAAACTTTGTCGATCTTCAAATGACCTTAACGGCCTTGTCTAGTCACGTTCAAGGTCACTATTATATGATCATTTCCAAACTTTACAACTTTCTTCTGCAACGTTTTTCTCTGGGAAATTTATTTTAATGTTTCCTTGCGTTTAAGATATTGTCCTGAACATTTACCTTTTTTGGAATCATTCAAAGTATTCTGCATCACAGGACTCGAGTTCGACCTAAATGCTTGTTCGTACTGCTTCTCAAGTGATAGATCAATAAATTTTGTAATGTCACCAGTATTTTCCTTGGACTGCCTGCAATCTCCATCATCTCGCTTTCGATGCAAAACCTCTGATTTCCTTCTGGGCTGTGGAAGACAAAAATTAACGTCAGGTAGAAACGCGACGAATGTGAAGATCGTTTCAAAATAAAGTACTTCGTTTCATTTCATACAACACCTTAGGAAAAACCATTGTTATACATGGGAAATCATTTCTTGGCAACAGCGCATCGGCTCGTCTACTTTCATCGCTATTCGTACATATTTCCTACCGTTGACGCGCGTGCCGTCGTCAAGTGCGATAAGGAATTCATGACTCACTCTGCGGTTGGGTTTTGTGTAGGAAAGGTGCGTCTTTATTTAATCCAAAATATCTTAAAAATGTACTCGCAAGAAGAAAAGTTTCAAATGATAGAATGGTACATCCAGAATAATTCAGCACGCGGGGTTGTTGAATTATTTGCGGTACGCTTCCCAGATCGGCCAATTCCGTCTCACGCAACGGTTATAAATACCTACGAAAAATTCAAGAGGGTGGGCTGCTTACATAACTGCTATAGCTGCATGCACCCTGAAGGTTGGAAACCAAAAATTAGCGAGAAAAGGGAGGAGATCGAAACTGCTGTTTGTGCCGCTGCAGAAGTATCTGAGCCATGCTCAAGCAGACAAATTGCTGAAATGGTACCAATAGCCGATCTCACACCCAGAACAACAAGAAATATTTTGCATCGCAACGGCTATCATAGCTTCAAGGTTGGAACGGTTCAAGAAATATTTCCTTTAGACAAATACCGTCGAATGGAGTTTTGTGAAACGGTCATGGAGAAGGCGAACAGGGATGGAAGTTTTATTGGTAACATTTTGTTTACTGATGAATCCACATTCCCTCTCCAGGTCATCACAATCCTTCAGTCGTTCGGTATTGGTCTCGGGGAAATAAACACCTCAGTTTTCCGTCCGCACGCATTATCCACAGAAACTGAATGTGTGGGCAGGAATTCTAGGTAATAACATTATCGGACCGTTCTTTATTGATGGAACTCTTACGGCTGCAAAATATTTGGCGTTACTACAGACGCAGATTGTTCCCGCAATTAGGCAGCTTGGCATTGATCTCGCTAATATTTGGTTCCAACAAGATGGATGCCCGGCGCATAATGCGGCGATCGTACACACTTACCTTGAAAGTGTGTTCGGCCACCGGATTGTTGGAGGGAACGGAACAATAAAATGGCCTCCTAGATCACCCGATCTAGCGCCCAATGATTTTTTCTTGTGGGGTTATGTGAAAAGTACTGTTTACACTTTCAATGAGAGAGCAGACAATTTGCATAACCTACAGGTGAAAATCGTTGAAGCGCTCGGGCAAATACAGCCTTCTACCCTCTTGAGAATTCGTCAGGAGTTTTATAACCGCCTGACATACTGTTCATTGAATGAAGGAGACGTTTTTGAGCCCCAGCTGTGAAGGACCATTTGAAACATTTGTGTTCATTATTGCGTTTTATTTTTGAGAACTTATTTTTTTGTTAGAATATCTTTTTATTTCCGTTACACATTTTTAAGAGTGTACTATTTTTTGTTAGAGTGGGTATCTTCTTATTTTTGTTATGAGACGCAACCTTTATTGCTACAAAACCAATTATCCATTCATAAAAATAAGTAGAGTGATTTAGGTGATTTCGTGAAATCTCGAAATCACCGAAATCGGTTCACAGGACGTCCAATCGAACTGGTGCGTAATGCGCGCATCTACTGTACTTCTTCTGTCGACTCAACGCATACTGAAATTTGCAGCAGACGGCAGACCTGTATCACGAATGAGAATAATAGGCAGATACGCTGTGTTGCCAATTTGAGTAGAGCTTCCCGAATTGTGGGGAATTTAGAGTTAAGTGTTGATTCATTCAAGCTTTTAATCAGCATGGCCTAGACGTTAGAACTTCATAAAGATAACATTGAAGCTGAATGCTGCTGGAGTATAGTGTTTCGAATATTCAAAGCGGAGCGGGACACTATACTCGTTCAATGGGTCATCAAGCCACAGTCTTTTCAAGAAAGAAATTATTTTACGAAAATGCGTTATATTTTTACGATTTTGTCGTCACCAAATCTCTGTTTCTCAAAATGTACGTCTATTGTAGAATTTTCAGCAAACTAAGCAAGAAACGCGATCTAGTATTTACTCAACATTACGGATTTCTCGAAATACATTAAAAAATGTGATCTAGATACCTAACTGCCCCAAGCTCTTTAAATATAACACCTTAAACCAGGGTTATCAAGTGCTCAGTCACGTTGATTGTCATGTTGTACTGCGCAAGTCAGCAAACAATCTGGCGTAATAAACGTTAAGAATCATCAGGTATTGCCAGATTCCCGAATACCGGGCACCATAGTACCCGTTATAGTTGTCCTTCAAAGTTGTCAAATCGCCCCTATGGCGCAAATTCGCCACAGCAGGCAACTGTGCTCTAAACAAACCCTGTTTATCACTACTATTTGATAGTCTTATGGTAGTTGTAGCCCTATCTAGCGGTCCATGATTTCTCTCAATACTGTTGTATCTCTACTGGCAACAAGAATAGGGATTACAAAATCATTTATACAACAATATACAAACATGAAAAATATGATTTGAACCATGAAACATTAATACAATTTTAATAGTTTGAACTTTTTTCATTTTTGGAATACTCTTATGTGGAATCCGCAGCTATTTTTCCCGAAATTTGGGTAGACTTAGATTTCTTAGAAATATGACATATTGGTATCGGCAACTCTGCGAATGGGAGAAACAAATCGCATTTGTTAAGCGCATCCGTCTAAGCGGCAGGCGCCAGCGGCCGTTCTGCCATCTCTCTTTTATCACTCTTCTACTTTACCCCGTTGTCCATCACACTGCCAGATAGGATCCTACAATCGAGTGTCTATCACGCACCTACATACTTTTGTATATTTCCCTCTCTCTTCCTCATCATAATGTATAATAATGATTTTCCGAAGGTGTATATATGCATGCTAATACAAAAAATTGTTTAAAACTGTCATAATATTTTTAACCATTTATCCTAACTACTAAAAGAAAACAAAAAAAGTAATAAGGTTCTTACCACTGGTGAAATTTGCGTTTTGCTAGCTTTGCTACCTGTTTCTTTTTCTGTCAGAGATTCGATTTTCTCTTTAGAATCGACTAAGTGTCTTTTGAACGTTTCTTCAGTCAACTTGGTAAGATTTTTGTTGATCTCGTGCAGCATTTTCACTTCACTGGGTGCTCGTCTGAGTTTTTGTGAGGCAGACAATTTTGCGTTTTCTCTTTGAAGTTTCTCCATCGATTCTTTCAGTTCGCATTTATCTTTTTCCAACTGCTTTACCTGAAGAAAGAAAAATAAGAAATAAATAAATAAGTTCAGTCTGCGAGCTCGAGGCTCCAAATTTGTGTCTAGCCTAAAAAAAGAGCGAATATGTTAGACCCACATTTACAGCGACCCGAGGTCCGAATGTTGATTGAGGGTTGGATGATCCTCAAGTGGGGATTTAACATTCTCATCACGAGTTTTCAGATTTTTCAATTTCAAAATCTTGACAATGTTTTAAAATTCTGAGATGAATAAATAATCATTATCTTGAAAATCTTGGAATATTTTCAAAATTTTGAATACTTTACAAATTTTGAACGTTTTGAAAATTTTGATAATTTTGAAAACGTTTATATATCGAAAACTTTGAATATTTAGCAAATTGTGAATACTTAAAATTTCGGAAAATGAATAAATTTTGATAATCTTGAAAACAGGAAACTTTAAAAACACGGAAAATCTGAAAAATTTTAAATATTTTGAAAATCTAGCAAATTTTGAAAACTACAACATATTTTGAATATTTTGAAAAATGTAAAAATTTTTAGAATCTCGAGAACTTTGAAAATTGAAAACATCGAAAAAACTGAAAATTTTGGAGAAATTATGTAAATTTTGAAAACGGAGATTTTGAAAACTTTAAATATTTTGAAATATGTGAATATTTTAAGAGTTTCTAAAACCGAAAATTTTGAGAATTGTGATAATTTCGAAAACTTAAACTTCGAAAACACTGAAAATTTCAAAAGAATTTAGGAAATTTTGACAACGAAAATTTTGAAATCCTTTAAAATATCTATTAAGAAGATTGATAATTTTGATAATTCTGAAAAATTTGAGAATTTTAAAAATTCAAAAAACTGCAGTTTTTGAAACTCTGTTACGAGCATCTGTGAAGTACAAATGTTAAATCTCCACTTGAGGGTATAACTCAAGGATGAGTTACTGTTTGTTTGAAATTCTAGGATTGACCAACCCTCAGTTGGCACTTGGCTCTCAAGGGTCTACTATAAATGTGAGCCTTAATCAATGATTCTACTTACTTGATTCCTGAGTCTAGCCTGCGAAGCTCCATTTTTAGTTTCCTTCAACTTCAGTAGCTCTTTCAGCTCATCTAGCTCTTTCCTCAGCATCATCAATTCTTCCCTTTCCTTTTTTGAAGGTCTAACTTGAGATTCTTTTATGTACATGTCAAAGATAGCCTTCTCCTTTTGGAACTTTTTCTTTTCGTTTTCCAATTCTGTCATCAAATCTCCGACTTCCTCGTCGTATTTCTTCTGTAATTTATGCAAATCTCTAAAAATGTAAGCACAAGACTAATTGTTACTTTCGTCTCACCTGTAAATTGTAAAACATACATAAACAAAGTTGAAGTTAATGCCTTCTTTCATTTGTAACCGATTTTCAGGAATGACAGAAAACAACCTACTGGGACACCACAGCATATCCTACTCTAAATTTCATTAAAATCAGTGCAGCGGTTTCTGATATTACGCCAACATATTTACAACACCAGAAACAAAGTCCACTTGTGTCTAAATGGTCATCGCCTTTCCAAAACTAGAAATGGTGTTAACTCCACAGCCCAAAACCCCACAAACTACATGAATTAGTTACCTAGTCAGTTGGTCTCTTTTCTTCTCCAAATCCTTAGCAAAATCGCATAGCTTTGCTTTTTCCTTCTGTATATCAGGAATCTGCTTCTTCAACTTTTCCATAGTTTCTGTCAGTGCTTCACAATTCAGACAATTCTCTATTTGCGTGCTCTCTTCGACTCCAGTGAAACTAGTGTTCACACCAATGTTAACCTTTTTTGGACTTGCTCCTTGCAAGGTGTTTTCAAAATCTGTATAAAAACTTAATGGTGTTTCTGTGTGTGAAGATTCAGTGTTTGTCGACTCAGAATAGCTGGAGTTTAAGCTACTCTTATTCGGCTTATCTGTAAAATAATAAACTTTAGAGGAATCGATGTTCAAAAAGACGAATTGACTTAAATTATTGATTACGGTCGCACATCCCTATTTTCAACTGCCTGTTTGACGAGTACTCATGATACTCTTCATATGACGGTGTGTATAGAGATGACCAAAAACAATGTTACCAAGTTTTTTTTGTAAAAAATGAATTTTTTCAATCCATTACTTTTATAGTAGAATTGAGAGTCATTACTTTTTTGTAATCATTTCAAAAAATCTTTGCTTTTCTTGAAAACTCATTTTGCAGCAAATTGAGTTGCAGTTGTAGAAAAAAAAGTGATAAAAATAAAATTAATCACCCGCTCAATCCCACTATAAAAATGGAATATTCACATACAAATTGAGAGATATACTATTATTTATTAACAAGAAAGACTCGGGACTGTTTCTCGCCAGCAAGCCGTCGGCGATCTAGCTCTCTTTTACCGCTACACCAATGAGCTTTGCCCCTCACAGCTCTCCTCCATGATACCGCCGCGCGATGTGCCTGCCAGACAGACCCGCCTGACTTCCGCCTCCCACCCTAACCGTGTCGAAATTCGTACATCCAGAAGTGGCCGATACGACCGCTCCTTTGCATCTAGTGTGTCGAGATTGTGGTACAATCTATAAGAGGAGGCTTTTCCCAGTTCTACTAGCCTTAGGCAGTTCAAAAATCGGATTAACAAGTTTCCTTGGGATCCTCAGAGCAGCCGGGGTGCCCAGGCTTCTGCCTGCGCGGCTGCTTCGATGTAAAAAAACAATCAGATGAAAAATACTAACAAGCCATTGAAAAAAATGGATGCGCAACGTTAACTTATTTTACCAGAAGATACCCAATTCAATTGAAAGCTCCTTGGAGACTACATTATTCAATTCTCAAACTTGCCTGTGTGTGAATCAGTGTGATTTTCATCAGAAATCTTCTTAAGATTATTAATAAATTCGTTCAGAAAATGTCCTCTCTTATCAATGATCTCCAACTTTCCCAATAACTCATCATATTCGTCCATGTACCTAGGAGAGGCCGGCTTTTCTTGAATTGGACTCTTAATTCTCTGTTCGACCTTCTTTTTTTTATTTGGAGTACTATAAAGCATTCCGATTACACTGGAATTTGTTGAGGAGAAACTGTTGTGCTCTACTCTTTCTTCTAGATCCTCGAAAATTCTCAGTTCTCTTTCTGTTACACTTTCTATTACAGAATGACTGGGAGGGTCATAAGGTTCAGGACTTGGTCTAGAACTAGAATCACGATTGATGGATTTTTAAACTTGCTAGCTGAAGCATAGATACAATACTATGGTAGTAAAATTAACTGGTCAAGAAACAAGTCCAACGAAACATGGAAAATAGTAAACATCAAGCTAGTCAAAACGAACAAAGTGAATGATCATGTTATCATGGATATTAATGGGGGCGTTATAACAGATAAGAACCAAATGGTGGAATGATTTGCTTACTTTTTTTTGAGGTTGTACCTAACAATAGTTCTAATTATCTTGATTCCAACCTTTCCTTACCCTGTACATGCAACTAATGAATTTAATGAGCAGTCTTTTTTCTACCCAATGATTGATGATGAAATTCGGAAAACTACGAACTAACTCAAGTACAAAAACTCATCAGGCTATGGAAGAAATCTCAGCCTTATCAACGTTTTTATAGAGGATATTGTTGATATCCAATGAATCCATTTTTTCCGCCATTTTCCTGAAATACTCAAATGTGCACTTGCTGTACCCATATTTACAAAAGGTGAGCATTACAACATTGATAACCACAGACTAATTTCTATTGTTAGCATAATCTTCAAAATATTAAAAAGATGATTTGCAACAGGATATACTCTTTCCTTGACCGTAAGATTCTTTCTCATTCCCAAAATGGTTTTAAACACAAAAAAAACTGTAAAAACTGCTTGTTGCCATCTACAGGGATATACTATATTTATGAAAATCTTGACAATGTTATATCCTTGCTGTTCGATTTATCAAAGGCATTTAACTCAGTGGATAAACAACTCTTGAGACGGGAGCTATACAGCATTGTTATTAGAGGTTTTCTTTTGTACTGGTCGATGTCGTAAATGTATGACTGAGAGATACGTGAAAGTGAATGTAGAATATGCGATGTCTGAAAGTCATCCACCACTACAATTCGGCGTTCCGCGAAGGTAGGTATTATAGAGCCGCTCCTCTTTTTACTGTTCATCAATGATTTGCCAAAATGTATGCCTTCTGCGCATGTTACTATGTTTGCGGACGACACTACTGTATCATTGTCCGCTACCACTGCTGATGAACCTCACTCAAAGTTACTAGCCATGATGGATCAGTTTTCACCCTGGTGTCAATGCAATACATTACTAATGAACGAAACTAAACCGGTCATTGTTAATTTTAACATCTGTAGACGTATCCCAGAATACGGCATGCAATAATAATAATAGCGTTTATTTGCAGAGCAAAAAAAATACAAAGAGAAAATAAATAAAAATGAAGAACAACATCAATTCCCTGCAAAAGCGACCAGTAAACAGACAAACTGATCAAAGTACTAGCAAAACAAACAAAATAATAACAGAGGTGTTCTCAACCAAATTATATAAGTTAATATTAAAAATAATATTCATAAGCGTCAAAAAAAATATATAAAGAAATTATATACAAAATATAATTTAACGAAAAAGGTCAAATCGTTTTAGACAGATTTAACACAAAAACATACTCATACATTTACAGGCTCATACATATAAAACATAAAAAGGAAGGGAACAATATAAAGAAATCATTACAATTTTCGGTAACTTATTTTGAAAGCTGACACAGACATAGACTCCAAGTTTGTAGGGTCGTGATTGTACAAGTGATAGATACAATGAGAAGACGATCTATTAAGCATAGATGTACGATGACGGGGTTGGGAAATCAGCTTCCGGGACCGAACATTGATATCGTGAACATTACTTCGAAATGTAATCTTATTATATAAATAAAGCGAAGTTTTATACAGAATAATTTTATGAAACATAACTGCAGAGTCAGATTTCTCCTGGCTTCCATATTTAGCCATCCTATTACAGATAACTTATAAGAAATAGGTTCAAATTTTTTTTCCAAAAAAACTAAGACAAGACACGCTGAATACGATCAACATCATACCTTGTTATACAAGGCCCATAAACTAAGTCGCAGTAATAGAATAATGACAGAACAAGCGTGTCATAAAGTAAAGCCTTAAGTTCGGTAGAAAAGATATGACGATGTGGAAACAACATTTTAAGCCGACCATAAGCACGGCCAAATGCACTTATCAACATGCTTTGAAAACCTCAGGTTACTATCCATAATCAAGCCTAAATTCCTAGTAGCGGACGTATGAGGAATAACATTATTATTAATTGAAATATGGAATGAATCTGCCACGCTCTTTTTGTGTTTCCCGAACAATAAAACATTTGACTTCGTTGGATTTACAGATAACTGATGTGCTATGCTTTCATTTGACAAATTACTAAGATCTTTATTTAATAATGTAACCGCAGTTGTATCTGTATGACAGTACGAAAATTTTATCTGGGTATCATCAGCACGTAAATAAAGCTTTGAATATCTCAAACTACTAGTAATATTTGCAGAGTATACTGAAAAAAATAAAGGACCCAAGATAGATCCTTGAGAACATCCCATGTATTTTAAAATAGAAAACATTAACTGGTGATTAATTGTATCAAATGCCTTTGTGTAATCAAGAAAAACAAGAGCCACTGTGTTGCCGTTATCAATATCTCTGATAATTTCGTCCGTACCATCTAGAAGCGCAGTTGTGTAACTAAAACCCTTTCGAAACCTGACTGAAATGAAGGCAGAAAATCATAATTATCTATATGAAGCATTAGCTGAAATTTTATTTTTTTTACAAAACTTTAGAAAGCACCAGTAATATAGAAATTGGCCGAAGATCCGACAAGCTAGATATAGTGTCTTTCTTTGGCAAAGGATGAACCTTTGCAACTTTCCAACAGTCTGGAAAAGTATTTTCTATTAGGCAACAATTAACAACATGCGTTATGGCTGGTAAAATGTACAGACAGCATAAAAGTAGCATTTCTATATTAATACCATCCGCCCCAGTTGCAAAAGTTTTTGTTTCATTAAGATATTTATAAACGATGGTTTCAGAAACAGGTTCAAATGGAAATAACCAATCAAAATCCTTACGAAAATTGCTATTTTAAAAGTGAAGTTTTCAGGATCAGGCTCAACATTGTTTGATGATGGAATCAGAAAATTATTATTATTATTATTATTATTATGATAATTGAGCAGAGTACACAGTACTATAAGCTCATGCAGTAAATATAGTGTACGGACACGTAACACAAATACATCAAATAGAAAAAAATAAAAAAAATACAGTTCACAGCCATAAAGTTTGTACACTCCTCCAGCTATCATACTGCACTTTGAAGCTATTAAATGAAGTAGCACCAACCACAGTTTCAGGTAAACTATTCCAGGTGTTGAGTATGCGGTCTGTTGTTTTAAATGGCTCCTTATGCAGTTTGAAGCTGTGTCCGCGTAGATTGCTGCGCGACAGATGGTATAGATGCATGAGGTTGGTGCCCATCAAACCATGAAGTATCCTGAACGTAACTATAAGATCGCCACGAAGTCTTCGCTCAGAGAATGAGGTCAGGTTGAATAATTCAAGGCGATCTTCATAGCTTGGTCTTCGTGCTCCAAAAGGGATACGAGTAGCCCGACGCTGTACTGATTCGACGAGATTTCTATCGCGCAGAAGCACAGTGTCCCATACCGGGCCAGCGAATTCAAGAATTGGCCTCACGAATGCCTTGTAAATGTAGGCGCAAGTGTTGACATCGGATCCTTTGAAAGACCTCTCCAGCATATATAGAAGTTTCTTGGCTTTTGATGTAACGTGGTGAATATGCTCTGACCAGGAAAGACGATCGTTGACTACAACGCCCAGATCAGTGTGGCTCGAAACTGCTTCGATGTTGTGGTCAGAGATCTTGTATGTAAATCGCGGATTTGTCTTCCCGAGGTGAAGGACACAACACTTAGTTAGATTTAAGGGTAAAAGCCAACTGAAGCATAGCAGAATTTACGACAGTATTGTAAATCTTGGTGTCGTCGGCATAAGCTGAACATGTGGAGGAAATCAATGCGGGCAGGTCACTGGTATACAGAAGGAACAGCACTGGCCCCAAGACAGAGCCTTGAGGAACTCCACTTGCTACATGATGAAGGTGAGACTGGCTATCACTGACGCGCACAGAGAAAGTCCTCCCGGTGAGAAAAGCCTTAATCCACAGTAACAACTCGCCTCTTATTCCCATACATTCCAACTTAAACAGAAGCCTTCTATGTGGTACGCGATCGAAAGCCCTAGAAAAATCTATGTAGATTATATCAACAGGAGTCTTTGTGTCCAGATACTGAGTCCAATCGTTGAGAGAGTGGAGAAGGTTGGTCATTATTGATCGACCAGGGAGAAATCCATGCTGATTCTTAGGGATAAGGTCATTTTCGAAAGCAAATGACTGGAGCTTATCTAATATGATTCTTTCAGCTATTTTGGCGGCGATAGGAACGAGACTTATTGGTCGATAATTTTTAGCGGAGGATTTGTCGCCCTTTTTGAATACAGGGGTAACAGAAGCACTAAGCCAGCATGAGGGTAGGGTATGAGATCTAAAAGACGATGTGAATATCAAGCTTAATGGTAGGGCCAGTGCTGAAGCGCAGTTTTTAAGTACAGCAGCCGTCATCCCATCTTTACCAGGGGAGGAAGAGGTCTTCAGATTTCGCAGGTGCATTAATACATCTTCAGGCAGGAACTCAACTTCGCAAAGGCTGTTGGGACACCTATGGCAGATAGTGGTCGGTAGAAGGTCTCCATTAGGCTCATCGACGAAGTCATCACTAAAGGACTCTGCCAGTAAGTTGGCAGATTCGGTGGCATCCATGTGGAGATGACCATCAGCGTCGCGGATCTGAGGTGATGAAACTTTGGAATTCAGGTTTGTTCTTAGATACCGAAACAGCTTCTTCTTATTTTTGGAGGTGACGAGTTTTCGTTCATAAGCATGTTTGGCATTATGTAACGTTCTAGACAGGAGGTTAGAAAAGGATCGATGAGACACGTAATCTTGTGAATGGCCACTCCTCCTCCATCCTCCGCCACAAAGATCTCTTGTGACGAAGCATCCTCGATATGTTAGAGTTGATCCAGGGCTTTGAGGGGTCACAGTATACCTTCTTTTCAACAGTATTGTCAGCCGTTTCGCTTAGGACTCGTTGAGCGAAAGTGTCCCACATATCTTGGGTGCTACGGTTGTTAAGCAAAGCAGGCCAGTTGACTTCAGACAGGGCTTGGTTAAGAGCATCGTGGTTTACAATTTTGATGGTTTTAAACTTATCGGTTGTAGAACGACTATTTATATTGAACTGGAGAGAAGATAAAAGTGAACAATGGTCAGACTTGCCAAAAGGTGGCAAATAATCTAAATTAGAAACAAAGTCTGCGTCGTTAACGAATATCAAATCCAGAGCCCTAGGCGTCTGTCCCTCCCTGAATCTCGTTGGACGATCAACAAGTTGAGATATGCTAGAGTTGCGTAGCAAGTCGATGTAAGCAGCAGAAGAAGAATTGCATTCAGGAATGGTTGACATAGGCCAGCTAATGTCACGTAGATTGAAGTCACCAGCTATGAAAAGGTTGGTGTTTTTATTTAAGAGATCTGAAATGAGACTGCACAGGTGTGTGTCTCCCAAACAGGGCCGTGGCCGATATATGCAGCCTATCGTGAAGCTGAAATTTGGGCACCTCAATTCCAAAAATAGATTGTCAATGCCATCGAAAGGACTGAAAGAGGGAGATACCGAGAAAGCCGACGCGATTTCCGTGCGAACATAAATGCATACTCCACCAAAACCAGGAGTGCGTGGTGAATCCATTCTGTATAAATAGTATCCAGGCAAATTGATGGAAGAGTCGGACACGTTGGAATGGAGCCATGTTTCAGTAAGACAAACGAACGTTGGATTATTGTCTCGAACAAATGCTTGGAGTTCAAGTAGCTTAGAAAAGAGAGATTGTATATTAGTGTAACAAACCGTCCAGTTTGCCACAGAATTTATCAGTTTTTTGAAGGTGTGATCTCCTGGGTAGCTGTGTGTACTATAGAAGGTTTACCACGAACGTATTTTATAGTAATATTACTTTCGCCTTTTGTTTGACGACGTCTAAGCTCTTCGCGAAGGTGTTGTAGTTCTTGCATTTGACCTCTGGTTTTGTCGTCAGAGATTTTTACGTGACGAAGCGTGGGGTGGCTAAGGATGGAGTTTTTCTTCCGCAAAATATTGCTGACGATAATAGGTGAGGAAAACACAACTCTAATTAAACGATTGCTTGAAGTTGTTCTGCCAAGGCGAGTGATGCTGAGTCGGTGATTTTCGGCAGATGGTTCAATATGCCTAAATATCTCTGATACTATGTTTATGTCATCGTTACCTTCAGCTATGCCCCTCAGAATGATATTGTGGGAACGTCTAAATAACTCCATTGTCTCAGCTTGGGAGCTTGGGGCAATAGGGGTAGAAGAAGCGCCGTTGTCTGAGTGCATCATCTCCATAGATCTTGCAAGTCTCGATTCAATATTAGCAATGTTAGAAGACAGCTCTGTTTGAGTAACCTGGATATTTTGTATGTTGGTTTCGCAGGCCGCTATTAAGTCATCATGCCGAGAGATCGAGTCCGAATGTTGCTGTAGCAAGTTTCTACAATAAGCAACATCAGTTCTGAGTTGAGATTAAGAGTTCTTAATATCCTTTATGTCACTGGCCATAGTTGATAATTGGTTAAGTATAAGGGTGAGAGTGTCGGTAGGGGTAGACTGATCTGGTTGTAAAGGAGCAGTGGTTTCTGAACGAGCACCGCATGTGGAAGAGGTGGATCCGCTTCGGGTAACTCGTCCCTGTTTACAACAGGCTGGGCAAGACCATCGTTCTTTTCCGTCCGACAGTTCTTCGTTGTTATCACTGTATTTTTCTACATTATCCCCATCTTCAGGATCTTTCATGTTTTTATTCTTCTTTCGCACAGTCCTACTCATGTTCCCTTATTCCAGCGGCTATTTCCGGATTACCCTATACACTCTGTAGACTAGTTTCTTAATTTGATTTGACACAATTGACGAAATGTCCAAATGACAAAATGGAATATATGGTAAAATGGCTGAAGATTACTCCCACGGCTCTGGAAACTATCGCCTACAGGTCCACGGACGTACCTCTTCCTGCTCTTAACTTGAACACCTCTGGTTTTAAATATTTTTGGCTTTTCTCCGATATTTTGAGGTATTTACAGTGAATACTAATTTAGTATTCTAGTAGTCTACTTTTTAACTTTAAATGCTTATTTAATATTGCTCAGTACCCACGAGATCATAGCATTGCGTTAGGAACATTTTTAACAGTAACTTGTTTTTCATCAAGCATATTGATCACATATGCAACAACCTTAATAAAGCCTATTATGCCTTTTTGTAGCTTAAAGACGCACTTAATAACAAGGGCTTGCCCAGTATCTACTTTATGCTTGCACATACTGACCTGTAATACAACATCATGATATTGGAGTAATTTCATCGAAAGTGGTAGAGCATTCACTGCTCAGAAGCGATTGCTGAGACTAATATTTAACACAAAGCCTAGCGAATTTTGCAGAGGGGCTTTAAGGCATAGCAACATTCTGACACTTTCTTATGCTTATATTCATAAATGTGTTACTTTTTTAAGAGGAAAAAAAATCATCAATAACACCAGACACACCTGAACCATCAACATTATACTTGTTGCATATTGTGTGATCAATAAATCTAATGTCTATCTATAATAGGAGGTTTGTTTAGAGGCACTTATTTAGTATGTCATATTAAAGAGAAGTGAGGATTTTTCATTTGAAATATTGTCTATTCTGGAGTTCAAACTTTCGATAACATGTGAAATTCAAGTTTCAAAAATGGAATGTTATGGATGCTTCCTTATTTGATATCATATATAAGAAAAACAGTTGAACGTCTTTATTTTTTCTGCTTTTGAAGACAGTATTTCCTATTGAATCACCCAACAACTTGAGTGCATGTTGATATATCAACTAGGATAGAGCTTCATATATTTATCATTTTTTTTAAGACATACAGGTAGAATGTTTGCACCTACTTATATCTCTTATTACCTTTGTATGTTCTCAGGAGAAGACATTTTCTTTTTCTTTGGAGTATTCAAAAACAGCTGCTTTAAACCATATTCATTCAATTTAGCCAATATATTCACCCCCTCTTGCCTCTCTGGAGACTTTTCTTTCTCTTGTCTTCCATTACTATTTGAGTCATTTACTTTAACCCATGTTGCCTTAGACTTCATTTTGGCTTCAGGCATCTTGAGAGGAATAAGTTGCTCTTCATGTTTGCTAGATGGTTTTGATGATGTAGCTTTGACACAGTCTTTATGGGTTGGTGAAACAGGTCTTTTCACATGTAGATTAGGTTTTTTTACTGTTGAGGGATTTTTTGCCAGAATTGTTTTGGCTGGGACATGTTTGGGTGTCAAGTTATACCTACAAATTATTGGCTAATTAGACAAATAAAGGCCAGTATTGTACACCAAAATGCAATGAAAACTCTAACAACTCAGGACCTTAACACTTTTGCTGCTATAGCTTCTATGATGCAGAGTAACCCAGTTGCGGCAATGTTTTTTTCTAAAATTTTAATTTAATCAGAAAATTCCGAAAACAGCAAACATATTTTAAGAGTGACATCAGCAGTGAAAGTTTTAAATAGTCAGACCCATAACCCAATTTAAAATATCTATGTTGAAAAACTAAAACAATTATATTATATGCAATTTAAAACAGAATGGTCATCTGTGTAGCAAAACTCTATCATAATAAACAGTGATTTTTTTTAATATGTTGAAATGTTCTTTACCTAAGGTACGTATCGAGTATTGAAAATTTTTGTTCCATTTATATTGGAACACAAATATCATTGAAGAAATTGCAGGTTTTGATCAATCCTGTGGTTGCCATGATTTGCATAACAAGTAATAGTCTATGACATACCTGGCTAGCCCAGATCCCTTTCTTAGAAATGGCTTTTTAGTCCCAGTTTTCACTTCCACAGGTTGTTCTTCTGCTAACTTTTCCTCTAGTAATTGTTCAAACGGTTTAGGGGGCATAATAGCCTTTTTATCCCAATCAACAAAGATACTTCTAGGTGTTTTGCTAGGACTTTCTTCCCTGCTAGACCGGCTGCTATCGAGAGCCGATAGCCCGTCAATGGTGTCCAAATCTGATGGATTGGTGGCATCTCTAGATCTGTTTTGCTGCAAGAGAGCATCATAGTTTCCTTGCCATAGTTTTAGTTCCTGCAGTTTTGCTAGAAATGGAGAGGACGTCATAGACATTTTACAATCAAGTTTTAACTGAACATGAACATGGTAGATTGTAGTGGATGATAGGTACGGTGGTTAGCCGATAAGCCTAACCTATCAATGTTTTGATAATTTCAGCGATTGTTCAAGCAAAATTGGTGAATTTCAGGTTAGCATTATCGTTAAAAACATTTCAAATTTCAAAATACACAAGATAAATGTCAAATGTCATATGTTATTGATTTTGAAAGTTTGGAAAAACAGGCGTGGTTTAACGTATCCAAGGTGACCGCTGACCACGCCTTCTGCTTACGCCCTTTTCTTCAGCTGGTTGTTTAGAATCGCCGCCTATATATCAATACATTTATCTCGTTTGATGACAGCGCCGCTTGTCGCTCTGCGGTGTCACTTTTTTAACTAATTTACGCTGGAATCCTCAAATTTAAAAAAAACTGCCATTTGTCCTGAGAAAAAAATGTGTGTGTAGCTACTAAAACGATGGAATGTTTTCAATATTGTATTTTCTATAATTTATAATGAATACTTTACATTAAATTCAATGTTCCGCTGTTGAACTCTTGCTCGCTTATTCCTTCTCTTCCGCTATCGTCAGCCATGGCGGCAACTTTTCTGATCAAACTTTTCGTTTTCTCCGTGAGAAACGAATCAATCTGTCCCAGGAGACTAATTAGCTGGGCCAGCTTTTCAAAACTTCTATTGAGCTGCTCAGCTTTTTCCAATTCCTCATCTTTCACGGTAATCTGCTTTCTCAGGTTTTCCACCAGTTGATAGGGAGTCAGAGGCGTCGGTGTAGAAGTAGGACCATTATTGAATCGATCTGATTTTCGTACCACGTTGTGATAAGGGCTGACTGCCGCATCTGATATCAGAAGCTGGAAATAATAGATGTTTCAAAATCCAAAATTTTAAGTAACCTATCAAGTATTAAAAAAATCTTTATATGGGACGAGATTTGGATTTCGAGGCTTAAAAAAGTACCTAGGTACCTATAGGGCGTTACATATTAGGATACCTCGATTAATAAGAGCACATTTCGCAAAGATTCAGCATACCACGTGCAAATATATGAAACATAGTCCATATAAAGATGAGTCCTCTTTGATGAAATATGCTAGATAAATGCCTTAGCGCTAAAATATATGCCACTTACTTTTGGAAAAATAAATGATGATTTTTTCACATCTCTTAATGTGCTGAATTTATACTTCTATTTTCTGGACAACGTTCCATGACACCGCATAATTTAAAATATACTTACACTTGCAGTTAGAAACAGAAATATTCTTAATCTCATGGTATTCTTGCTGACAAATCCAACACACAATCTTCATTAATTGCACCATACTTTTAACGATAATCATGCCTTGGCAACACATTTTGCTGAAACAGCACTTTTAATAAAAATATAACTAACGCAATGTGAAGTTACGAGGTATACCTGATGATTTTTCAGTATTTCCATCATTGTGAAAAACAGGATCAAGTAGATTGACTGAGAGTAATCCGAGACATTTCCGGCATTTTTCAGATGAAAGCAATTTAGGTAAAATCATTCTAATCAGAGTCAACCGAAAAACAATGGTAATATTTTTTGAGCTGAAAAGTACATAAAAAGTAAAAAAAAAGATCCTATATAAATCTGTCTTAAAATGCCTCATTAACAAGATACAGGGTGCTGTAATAAACTTCTACGCTGAAGCTATATGATTCTTTGATTTCGAAATTGCAACGTCCCACGCCATACAGGGAAACCTTTATCTGAAGGCTTGAGTTTAATGTATACGTAAAGAAATAAAAGCCGGCTCAAGAGCGAAGGTCATCACTACATTGTGTAACGGTGACGCAGAAGGTCGTGCAATATGCTGCGTTGCAAATATGTTACACCAGACAATGTTCGGACTGTCAAACCGAAGAAGAAGGTATGTTCGAACATTTAATTTGATATTTTGTTTTATTTTGATTAGAATTATTTATTTCACTTCGGATGCGACTTTATTTTCACACCCTGAGCTATTGTTACATTTTGCGACAGCGAGCGATCGGAAAATGTAACAACTACCAAATTATCAATGCCTGCTTGTACGCAGGTAAAAACCATTTCGAAGCAGGACGACACTCGCCAATGAGCGCTAGATGGGTACTGACCAAAATCGCTCATCTATGATCATGGAGGTGGAAACCTTGCCTTGGAATGTTCGAGATGCTGTGTTGCCAAGCGAACCAATGATGCAATGTTGTAGAATTTGTGGCGATCCTGACTTTCTATTTCGACTTAAGATGATGCGCCATTATGAGCAATACGGACTCGATTCTAAACAGCTTCGCGACAATTCACTATTCAAAAATGTGTATGTTCAAAATAAAACCATTATTTGGGAGTAGAGAAGAAACTAGCGCATATTTCCAACAATCAGATTTTATGACCTATAAATACTGCCACTATTTTCTGAATCACATGTAGATTTGGCGCATTAGGGAGACACTAAAAAAGGTACAGTCAAGTTCTATCGTTTATTTTGAAGTCAGAAGAGTTAAAAGAGATTCTAGAGGACTCTCAGGTTTCTTTTCGGCTAAGTATATTTTATCTTCGGTCCAAATGGATGTTTTTTCTGGACATCCATACATAGAGTTTATTTTTTCGATATCTCCTTTGCTGAAACCTTCACGCTGTCCTAATCTAGTTTCAAGCTAAAACGAAGAAAATGGTGTAAAAAACGTTAACGATAACTTATATTTTCATTTCCGATCCAAAATCTAAGGCTATAAAGAAAACTTACTTTGGGTATGATTGTCGGTTTATCATTCTTGGAAAATGCCTTATCTGAATAGTGCATTACAGATTTGTAGTCATATTCTACACCAAACGCGTTAACTTCAGACTTTTCACTTTTTTTAAAATTGTCTTCGTGACCTGAAAACAGTTGCCTGAATAGACTAAGAGATTTGAAGAGCTTGGGTAATAAAGAACCTATGAGCCACAAGGACTTTATTTCTAGAAATAATAAGTTATAAGTTTGCTTGCTTAATTTCGATTAAAATGCTACAAATAGGTTTACATTTCAAGGAACAAAATTTTTGTGACAATATGATTATATGATATGGTTTCTGTTCATGATATTCGCATCAAAATCACAACCACAAGAAACATAAAAGCTCAAAATGTTTGTAGCAGAAATTTGTTGTGTGGTTGGCAGCACTGTATACTGTCAGATAATTCATGAATTTTTCTCCAGAATAAAGTCGTGAAGAAATTATTGATGTAAAACGGATATAAAAATTGTGGGATATCATGCTTGTTCAAAAGCGTCATTTAGAAATTATAACATTTACCAGCGAATTGTTCAAAAACAATCCACTTTGGACCTGCTTCATGGATATAGTTTTAGATAAAAAAAATGCATTCCAAAGTGTCTTAGGTACTTACCCCAAGCCATTCATTCCAGAAACTATTTTACGGGTGTCAGAACCTGATATTTACCTTCTTTAATATTCTGCCACACAATTGTGATATAATCGTCTCTTTCTGGCCGACTTTGCTCGTGCAAAAATCCAGCTGCATGCATCAATTCATGCACCACGGTACCAACTCTGGTGGTGCACGCCGGGGTTTGTAGATTCACGTCTTGCCTGCCGCCTTTTTTACCAACGCTGGACCAGCAGCCGGTTCCTGAGTTGGATATTGAGATAAAGTCCTTATCTGAAGATGATTTTTGTTTGAAGCTGGAAGAAATTTATTTTTATATCTAGACTACTAGTCTCCTCGGCTCTACTTGAGTGGAAGTAGTTGGAAAGATAGGTTATTTATTTTGCATTAGTGATGAGATTGGTTGCAGAGAAAGAAATGCAATATTTCAAGTTATGAAATAGTTACTTTGGCAATGGACATTTTTTATTTCGATGCCAAAACTGGCGAGGAAGAAAATTTCGAAATTGAGATATTATGTTTTTCTGGATGGTATATGACATGACACCACGAAAAGCCAGGTCACTCACTTCTGTCGGTCTACCTGTCCTTTTTTCCGCTAATTTTATAACCGTCTATAACTTGAGAAGTATCGCTCGGATTTTGGTGAAATTTTCACACAAAACAGGAACCAAATAAAAAATCGCTTAAACTCCGTTTTTCGACGTTTCAGAGGCTTCTGATCATTATCGGATTTTTTTTCTGTAGGGATTGAAACTTGGGAGTTGTGGTTGTAAGGGGTAGTGGGTTGTAAATGTAACGTCTTCAGTACTAGTCAAAGACGTTATATCATTAAGAAGCTTCTGATCCCGGTAACAACGGGAAAATGAGATAATAAAAGTCCGATGTATAATGTGCTCGTAATTCGAAATAAATTGGCAATCGTTGGCGTTGCGCGTCGGTTACTTAGTACCGTTTTGTCTATCCAGGTTTTTTCAACTCTGTGACCTGCACTTACCCAAATATCCAAATAATATATACTAAGTGACATATAAATCCGAACACCCAGTTTAAATGGTTTTATTTTAATAAAATTTTGTGTAAGTACTTAATGAAGCATAATAAGTAAATGATAAAAATTTCAAAATGATTGCACTGCTTTAAAGCCCTGTGACCTTTAATAATGTGTGGATGCACCCTGATGTGCTACGCATTCTCCAACGCGCCTAGGCACGCTTCTGATCAGGTGGTCAATGTCCTCCTGTGGTATCTCATTCCAGGCAACCACCAACTCCTCTCGAAGTGCTTCTAGAGTCTGAGGAGGACGTTGCAAATTGAGCAATCTCCTACCCATCATATCCCACACGTGCTCAATTGGGGATAAGTCGGGAGATCTTGGTGGCCATGGTAACAATGTGACATCATTATGTTGAAAGAAGTCTATTGTGACTCTTGCAACATTGGGTGGGGCATTATCTTGTTGGAAAGTTGGATCTGCCAGGGTGTCAAGATGGGGTTCTAGAACTTTGTGGATATAACGCTGCGCGTTCATGTTACCTCTGATGAAGATTAAAGGTGACCTGGAACCATAAGCTATAGCACCCCAAACCATAACTCCAACAGTGTGATGAACATGTCTTTCAACAAAAAACTGTGGATTCCTCCTTTCACCACGTCGCCTTCTAACCCTGGCACGAAAATCGTACATGCCTAAACAAAATCGAGACTCGTCACTAAAGACAATACTGTTCCATTCCTGATCCCAGAGTGATCGTTGTCTGCACCACTCAAGGCGATTACGTCGGTGTTCTCGAGTTAAAGGGAGGACCCAGTGTGGCCGATATGTAAACAAGCCAAAACTTCTCATTCGTCGGTGAACACTTCGCATGCCAATAGGTCTTCCGTGTTCTGCAAACCATTCATTTGCAATAGACCTGGTAGTGGAGAAACGATCCCTTAAGGCCAATAATCTTAGGCGGCGATCTTCATGGTCTGTTGTTCTACGGCGGCGTCCAGTGCCCCTTGCTCTTTGCGTACGGCCTTCTCGAAGCCATGCCTGACAACACCTAACTACAGTGTCTACAGTTCTTTGCACTCTAACTGCAATTGCCCGAAAAGAAAGTCCAGCTTCCCGAAGTCCCACTATACGGTCCCTATCAAACTCACTAAGTTGACGAAATCGTACAGGTCTCCGTACTCTAGGCATCGTAACCGATCGTAAAGGATGTCAAGAACCAAAATCCGCCAACGTTGATTCTTTACTGCGGCTGAAATATTCATTTTTAGAGCGTTAGTGAATTAAGAAAAAGCAGTATAAAAACCGGAATGTCCAACTGATAAGGCTGAAAATTTTTTCACTTGTTATTTACAGTAAGATAAATACATTCACCAACTTTTATTAAAATAAAACCATTTAAACTGGGTGTTCGGATTTATATGTCACTTAGTATATTTGTATAAGTTATTGTGCGTAGGTATTTTCGCTACGGGACTATCTCAGATTTCTCTATCAAACCGGACTTCCGATTTCGCGTTTCGTAACGAAAATTAAGTTCGTGCAACGTTTTCCTTAATACTTCGACGCTCACTCGGAGTATAATGTCATTACTCCTGATCTTTGCATGTATTAAAACCTCCAACTAAGGCATAGGAAGTATGGAGTCAATCTACTTGACTCCATTTTCTATATGAATCATGTTTTAGAATTACCTGACGCACGTGTAAGTATGATAAAGATCCATCGCAGCCTGTATAGCGCTAAGTTGACTTGGTAGGAAGAATCCAACGATTTCGTAAGGTATAACGCCCGCTTTCCAACGAAAGCTATTACCGATAAGACCATTTCTATTGAGTTCCTTCGGAAGAAGGATATCTCCTTGAGCATATTCGCCTAACTCCTCTGGATTTTCTGAACTGGAGGCGTTCCAGTTTTCCAACCTTTTTCCTGCAAAAAATAATGGCCTGGAACTTATCTCCGAGACTTCGACTACAACCATCGATACACGCATTATACTAAGTGACAGAAAAAATAACACCCAGTAATAATAAATTTATTTAGAGATATTCTAGGTTAACCCTATTTCAAGAATATCCATCACGTTTTGACGGCTACTGAGGTGAACACCGTCCTTGTTTTAGTCTGTAACGTCGGCAATAACGAATTGGGTGTAAATCTAGTAAAACCTGCTAGTATCGTTATTTGTGTGCAAATGACCTTTTCTAAATAAAAGAGTAGTTAGCCGACAAACCCTTTTTGATTGATCTAATTTGCGTCAACTTTTTTGTCCGGGCATAAATGAAAAATAGGTTTTTGTAGCTGATCCATGTGATATACGAATTATTTCTGGATTTAATATGAGAATTAGGAGCGCATCTTACACAAATCGTATACTTTTCTCTAATTTGGTAGACATTTTACAAGAAATCAACGAAATTCATTAGGTTCATTACTTCAAAGCAAGGGCGTACCCAGGGGGGACAAGCGGGACATCTGTCGCGGCTTTACCGTTTTCATTATGATTACCTTTAAATATGTTACAGTTTCTTCTTGTGGTCCACTAAAAATTAACTATATTTTTTTAAAATTATATTAAATTATTACGTTTTTTTTATTTAGAATAATAATGTTATAACAGTTGTTAAAAATATTAAATATCTATTTTTATAGCAAAACTTTCTCGAATAAATTCAGATAAAAATAGAAATGATTTTTGGAAAATTCGCACCATTTTCCGTGTATCACCCGAGATAATCCAACCGTCAAAACTTTTCCAATACATTTTTTTTAATATGTAAATATGTAACTTTGTCACCATTCAACCGACCCATATCTGTTACTGTTTCGGAGATCACAATGGAGTAAATAAAACAAGTCTTCAAATCATTCTAGAACAAACTAGGTACATATCCTTCTATATATTTTATAAAACTATTTTTGGCTATATGACGAAATTTCAAGTAATTGTATAAAAACAACGAATAAAATCGACAAAGAGAAATTGTTTTCGGAATTAGTATAATATGCTATATCCAAGGCTATATCAAAACTTCTTACTTTGAAGAGGCATATTAGAATATACTAAACGATGTACGGTGTTCCATTTGGAAAAATCTTCTGTTGTCACGTCAGTCTAGTAAGAATCACCTTGTAGGGAGTGGTATATTCCAAGAAGGTATGTTTCATAGTAACGGAGATACTAAAATTCACCCTGTATGTCTAATTTGTTGCAGCAGTTAAGTCGCTGTATAGCTTGAGCATTTTTGAATATTTTTGTATGTTAAACTACAAATGCTTTCTTTTGAACACTATTTTATATTTACTTTCATGCGTTTTTCGGCAAAAAATTATCAACTGGTCCTACTCATTAGTTCTAATTTCGAAGGTGTTTTTATCCATTTCCAGTTATTCTATAGACTTCATAAGTTTGATAAAAAAGCTAGCCAGATTTTTTTATTTGGATTTGGATTTATTTTTGACGACTAAATTATTATTTAAAAACGCATCTCGCGCCATATTTGCTTGAATGTTTCAAAAAAGTAATCCTAGTAGTTTTCCATTTCCATATGAATTGTCAAATCGTCGTGGAAGAATCTATAGAAATGGATACAACAATGGAATGCAAATAGAAAGAAAAATATCAAGCATAGTTAAGAAAATATGATATTTTTGGAACTTTTTGAAGCCGTGTTTGGGCTGGGTAAGCCCTTACTTCAAAGACAAATTACAAATTGTGCCAAACGCGCGAATTTTTATTCTGCCGGTCAATAGCGAACTCGGCCTTTAGAATCTGAAAACCTTTTCCGTGTAAAACAGAATTCAAAGATAAAGAAAACTTACCGACTTCAGGGTCTGGGTTTTTAAAAGCTTTTTCTCCCAAAAACGATAAATCTACTCCGAGTACGTCTTCAGAACTGTCGAATAAAGAAAATGGAAAACTTGAAACTCTGTTGAAAAATAGTACGAGTTGTAAAATAGAGAGCAGCATTTTCGCAGCGACTATTGTTATTTGAAGATGAATACGTATGTTTTAAAAATCTAATGTGTACTCGTATATATTATGTATTCGGCACAAACGTTTTAGTATCATTTATATGACAACTAACACTATAATTATAATATCAGTAGATATTATCAAAGAACACGAAAAGCATAGCAAGATATGTAAAACAGGTAAGAAAATCGCAAAAATGGAGTACCTGTGTTGAATTTCAATATCCTTAAGTCTTTACAAAAATTCCATGTCAAATGGAATGGAACTTTGTGCTATCTAATTTCGTTAGACTTTATACGCTGAATAGAGTTGCTCAGTTTTCGTTCGTTTTCCACCAGGACCAAGCCTACACCATGCCGAAGAGTTGCCAAATAGCACGAAACAGCTGTCCATGGTTGTCGCACAAGGTTGCTATTATGCCAAGGACGAAAACCCTTTGTAGTTTTTGGAAATCGATCCAGTCGTGACGAAGCCAGAAGTAAAAAAGATCTACTGAAAAATTTGTAGACCCGAGCTGCTTTTCAGCTGGCCTTTTGGTGCACGCAGCCGAGCACGTGCGCTCCTTTATGCAATAAACACTTGTTCCAGGTTTTGGCTGGACCTTCAAACCCATGAAAAGTCAAAGATGTCTATATTTATGTAAATACCTGTTCGTTTGATAGCTTGCTTTTTTATCTATTTTGTAATTTAGGTAATACTGATTATAGGAAGGCACTAATAAATACAAAATACGTTTGCCTATAAAATCTAATAAATAGACAATTAAATTTTGTTACAAACGAATGAAAACAATATTCAAACTTCCAATAAAAAAATTCAAATGAAAACCAAGGAAAACAGACGGCAAGAAGAAAACTAAACCCAATTAAACCAGGCTACAAAGAAAAAAAATAGGTATTTCGTTTTAAAAAAGTTTAGCAGATATCTTAAAGTCTTAAAATGAAACAATATAATAATAACAAATATATAAAAAGATGTAGCAAGATATGCGTTGTTTTTTTCTAAACAATGGAAAAAGCTCAAAATTCAGTATTTTGCTTGTATAATTTTCAAACTAAACTTTATAAATTATCAATAAACTAGAGATTTTAGAGAATTAAAAGACCTATAACTTTACTTTTTAAGAAGTACTCCAAGTAGCCGGTTATGAACTGGTTTCAGAAACATCTACACAGCCATACCGAACCATGGCCAACTAGATCATGTCGAGAAATCGAGATCGAAAGAGCTGCTAAGCTGAAACGGCGAACGAACGGTTCGATTTGTGCGATGTGAGAAGCTCATCAGCCGTCGCGCAACGACCGATGAACAATGCAACAGCGCAATTGTACACCAGTTGGGGATATTTCGGGAGATTTGCGACCTTTTTTAATGGTGTAATTAAGGATGTGGGGTTATCCAAAATGAAACTTAAACCTTACATGTTAGGAATGTGACAGGGAATATTTCATTCATTTACGTTGGTTAACCTTGCTCATTTGAACAGAGGAAACAGGGACATCTTGCAACTGTAAGTGATTGGACTCAATTATCTTGCGGACTGTAAAACGGATGTATGGTCATGTGTATCTACTTTTGTCGTTGCATATGTGCATTCATTTCGGGCCTGATGAAGCCAGCCAGCAGAAATACGTATCGCTCGGGTTACCTACCCTATATTCTGGTCGAATCCACTTTCCTCCTTTTTGCGGATATATATATATATATATATATATACAAAAATCTTATAGATACGATCAACTAGTTAGGAGACAGTTATCTTTGGAACAGCAGCAAGAAATAGGCTATGGGACTGTTCTTTTAACTTTTAATCTCTTAATATTTCCACACTAACTTTATAAGCATATATATATATGTGCGTGTCTCCTAAAAGAATCTACATTACAGGACGAACTTCTCACCTATTGCGGCGGTCCCAAAGATAACTTCTAACTAGTTATTGATCCGCAATGACAACCGTCAACTAACATAGGATCAACTCAAAATTTGAGTTATCTCAAGGACTGCAAACCCGCTTATGGAGCCTGACCCTTTATCTTAGCGAATTTTTCTAGGTCACCAAACTCTAACCTACTTCTGCATCCTGTTTTCTGATAAAACGATGAGTAATCTTTTTCGCGGATGCTATCATGGTCAGTTCATTGTTTGCATCTTTTCATTAAATACGTACAAAACGATTTCTGAAAAGTCGTAGAAAATTCGAGCAAAAATGTCTTCACAATCGTTCTTGATGTGTCTTATACTGTTATCAGTTTCATGTGAAGCTTTGGGCTTTACGGCCGAAGGTATCAGTACGGATATCAGGTTTATCAAAACATGTAACTTGACATCCCCGATAAGCATGAGTAAGTACAAAGGAAAGTAATAGTAATTAGCGTCGAAAAGTATAAATGTGAAAGAATTAAAGCATCAAGTTCTTCTAATATCTAAAATCCTTTTGCGCTGGAAAACTTTTAAGCTTTTTGGAAATCGGTCGGACACGAAAAAAAAAAATACTTAATTTTTTGACGTTTCATAGACTCTTGGTCATTTTCGGAAAAATTTTTGTAGGGGTTGAACCCCGGAGCTTGTAGCTTGTGGAGGCTAGGGGACTGTAAATATAACGTCTTTAGTATTAATCAAAATTATATGATAAAAGTCCGACGTAGAATGTGCTCATAATTCGAATTAACATTCCAATCGTTAGCGTGCACAGTGCGATGGATATATAGTACGCACCAGTTTAGCGTTCTGCGATGCTTTTGTAAATGGTGACTTAGCTGTTTTTATATCTACACATACGAGTATATTTTTGTCTGAATTTTATGATCCTTAAATGTACCACCCATATCGTCTAACCTTTAATTTGTGTGACTCCGTCTATGATGGTTCTGTGAATATTTCGTGAACTGGATTGACTCAGTACTTCTGACGCATTGATACACTTCAGTTGGCCCAACTATTGAAATCTTAGTTTTTTTAATCACAGCTGTCAGAATACGTTTAAAATAGTTTTGGGTAGTTAAGGTTTTCAAAATGGGTAGAGGAAAGGTTATTAGTGAGAAAATTCGGTTACTGATAATTAAATTTTTTGATTCTGAGAAATCAAACTCGGAAATTGTAACTTTGTTAGACTTATCGCGGTACAGTGTGAGAAATATTGTTAGAATATATAACGTAACTGGTTCAGTTAATATTAAGCCACGATATGTGAAAAAAATTAATATCACAAATGCCGACCGAAGAGCATTAAGAAGAATAATCGTGAAAAACAGGCGTGCCAATTGTTTACAATTAAGTGCTCTGTGGAGTGAAGCTGTTGGAAGGAGAATTTCGAGGTAAACAATTCATAGAGAGACCCACAAACTGGGATTTAGCACTTGCAAGGTTAGTTTTCTTATAAAAAAAGAGAAGTAAAAACCCTAAAGTTGCACAACTTGTTTATAGGCCAAAGAAAAGCCACTATTAACTCCACTGCAAAAGAAAAATCGGTTTAGATGGGCTAAAGAACATAGACAATGGACATCTCAACAATGTTGTGCAATACAATGGGGTGATGAGGCCCGATTCGAAGTTTGTGTTAGTGACAGTCTCAGTAGAGTTATTCGCAAAAAAAATGAAGCATTCCATGTTGACTGTCTAAAGAGAAAAGTGAAATTTCCAGCAATCATTATGGTCTGCGGCAGTATGTCATCAAAAGGAGTAGGAAAACTTCATTTTATTGATGAAAATGTGGATACAAACAAATATTTGGCAATTTTAGAAGAATCGCTTTTACCAGTGATGGAAGAATGTTTGACATCCGGCCAAGATTTTGTGTTTCAGCAAGATGGTGCAGCGTGCCATACCTCAAAAAAGGCTATAAAATGGATGGAAGAAAGTAATGTACCACTTTTGAAATGGGTTTCTAACAGTCCAGATCTGTCAGCTATTGAAACTTTGTGGCACGAGATGAAAAAGGTTCTACGACAACATCCTGTTCGTACAATCACCGAGCTGAGACAAAAGCTTAAAGAAATATGGGATTGCTTTACACCAAATTTTTGCCATAACTTGGTTAACATTATCCCCCAAAGAATTTCAGCCGTAATAAAAGATAAAGGTGATGTTACCCAATGGTAATCTTTCAATTGTTGCTTTGTTAACTTCGCGCATTTATTCGCACATTGTTTATTTGTTCAGATGTTCTATTAGTTATAGGTCTAAGTGATTTCAAATATGTATTTTTTACGACTAGAGTGTATCTGAAATGTTTTTGAGAAAATAAATTGTTTTAGAAGTAAATAGTTTCGTCATGTTTAGTTTATAAAGGCACATTTTGGTACAAATCTTGAAGTGGGCCAACTGAAGTGGGAAGGGGCTCGTACAACAGACTCGAACTGACAGCCCGACAAATGAGAAACAAGGACTTGTGTGATTTGAATATTATCGCGAGTTTAATACTTCATCCATAATTTAGGTAGTTGTAGATTTTGAAAATCGATACAGAGGCAGCGGAAATAACATATTCTTGCAACGTCTCAGATATCCCTGCTTATTTTTCACAGAAAATGTTACATCCGATTATGAACTTGATCTTAAAGTCAAGGTCATGACAACCTTAAATAGTATTTTTAAGACAACCCCTTGATTTTTACGTCGAAATTGCAGAGAGCAAGGCATTTTATATCTAAACGTATAAAATTTTGAAGTGACCATGAAAGTTATGGTCAAATTATCTTTGCACACAACTTACAATTGCACTGACGAACTTTTTTTTAGATAAAATTGTTTTCAATGTCTTGAGTTCATTGTGATGTGATGACTATAAAGTCAGAGTCATACTCCGACGTAAAATTCGTCCTATCTCCAATTCCGGTGTAAGAATGGGGTAATTCCGTTTGAAAACATTTGCTTGACCTTGTAATGCCCTTGAAGGTAGCTGTCAAGGTCAGGGATTCGTAGTTTTCGGAATATTTATGTGGAGAGATTAGAACGGGACACCCTGTATAGCAGCAAAACAACAGAACCATTCACGGTGCATGCTAAGGAATGGAACGCTTCCTACTCGGGACGTTTGCGTTTCATACAATCCAAAACTATACTAAGTGACATATAAATCCGAACACTCAGTTTAAATGGTTTTATTTTAATAAAAGTTGGTGAATGTATTTATCTTACTGTAAATAACAAGTGAAAAATTTTTCATTTGGACATTCCGGTTTTTATACTGCTTTTTTTTAATTCACTAACGCTCTAAATATGAATATTTCAGCCGCAGTAAATAATCAACGTTGGCGGATTTTGGTTCTTGACATCCTTTACGATCGGTTACGATGCCTAGAGTACGGAGACCTGTACGATTTCGTCAACTTAGTGAGTTTGATAGGGGCCGTATAGTGGGACTTCGGGAAGCTGGACTTTCTTTTCGGGCAATTGCAGTTAGAGCGCAAAGAAGTGTAGACACTGTGGTTAGGTGTTGTCAGGCATGGCTTCGAGAAGGCCGTACGCAAAGAGCAAAGGGGCACTGGACGCCGCCGTAGAACAACAGACCGTGAAGATCGCCGCCTAAGATTATTGGCCTTAAGGGACCGTTTCTCCACTATCAGGTCCATTGCAAATGAATGGTTTGCAGAACACGGAAGACCTATTGGCATGCGAAGTGTTTACCGACGAATGAGAAGTTTTGGCTTGTTTTCATACCGGCCACACTGGGTCCTCCCTTTAACTCGAGAACACCGACGTAATCGCCTTGAGTGGTGCAGACAACGGTCACTCTGGGATCAGGAATGGAACAGTATTGTCTTTAGTGACGAGTCTCGATTTTGTTCAGGCATGCACGATGGTCCTGCCAGGGTTAGAAGGCGACGTGGTGAAAGGAGGAATCCACAGTTTTTTGTTGAAAGACATGTTCATCACACTGTTGGAGTTATGGTTTGGGGTGCTATAGCTTATGGTTCCAGGTCACCTTTAATCTTTATCAGAGGTAACATGAACGCGCAGCGTTATATCCACGAAGTTCTAGAACCCCATCTTTTACCCTATCTTGACACCCTGGCAGATCCAACTTTCTATCAAGATAATGCCCGACCACATGATGGGTAGGAGATTGCTCAATTTGCAACGTCCTCCTCAGACTCTAGAAGCACTTCCAGAGGAGTTGGTGCTTGCCTGGAATGAGATACCACAGGAGGACATTGACCACCTGATCAGAAGCATGCCTAGGCGCGTTGGAGAATGCGTAGCACATCAGGGTGCATCCACACATTGTTAAAGGTCAAAGGGCTTTAAAGCAGTGCAATCATTTTGAAATTTTTATCATTTACTTATTATGCTTCATTAAGTACTTATACAAAATTTTATTAAAATGAAATCATTTAAACTGGGTGTTCGGATTTATATGTCACTTAGTATATGAAGTGACTATGATCTACTTAATTCTTTGCAGCTACTATGAACGAATTTCTATTCCACAAAAAGCTAGCAAACGGGGAATCCAGCGCGTTCAAATGTTTTCTGCACTGCCTGTTTGCAAAATACGGTTGGATGGATGACGAGGGTGGATTTTTGCTTCACGACATCAAAGTCACCCTTGAAGAAGCTGAAGTGGAGATTGACAGCTTAGAGTTCATCCTGTATACTTGCACTGCTATGAACTCGGTGGATAAATGTCAAAGAGCCTATACTTTCACGCATTGCTTCTGGCAGAAAATTGCTGAGGTAGGAACAGTGTTGTCAGTTCTACTGAATTTTCAGTAGATCTACTGATTTGTATATTGATCTACTGATCTACTGAAACATTTTTGTAATGTACTGAAAAAATTATGATGCCTAATTAATGTTATTCTTATTGTTAATTTTTAATTCATTACCTACACCTTGCGTAATATTGTCGAAGAATCAGTTTGAATACGGTCATCAATGATGACCCTAAATAAATTCGAAAGCGTCTTAGCGTTTGATATTATGTTGGTAATACTTTACAGCCCAGACTACTGATGTAAATATTCGGAATATTTTGCTAACCGGTTAGACAGAAACGGATGAATAGAATATTCGGATGAATCTTCCATGGATGAATCATTCGTAATAATAATACGAATCATGGCATCATCCATAATAGCAGTGGTTTTATGCGACCTGGCAACACTGGACCAGACCACGGCCACGGGCCACGGGGAATCAACAGTTATTGATGCGTAAACGACTACGAGGACCGGGATTTCCCAGCGCTGCGCGACAACGCGAAGGTTTTGTTTTTTTCTTTGTTTTCATCTTCACAATTCGGTTTGATCTCGTATCCAGGGGTTTTGTTGAATACTTTATTGTTTAATCCTTTCGTATAAGCGCACGTACAAAAATGAGGTAAGTTCACTTTTATTAGTTAATATTGAATTCTAAAGATGTAATGTATTATGTTTTTAGTTCAAGTGAGTACCATAACCCTGAAAATGAAGGGGCTGGTCCCTTAAAGAAAAAAAAAAGTAAATATAATCAAGTATTTAAGAAAAGCTGGACCGAAGAGGAGCAATTTAAAAAGTGGATCAAACAGGGAAAAGATGAATACTTTGCTGTGTGCCGCGTGTGCAATAAATATATTTCTATTAAAAATACTGGCAGATTAGCACTAGTTCGGCATCAGGATAGTGCGATGCACATTAAACTATGCAAATCTCAGAAAAAGCAGGGAACATTAACAGATATGGTGGTTTTTAAGGGAGGCCCAAATCAGGAAACTGGCTATCCAAGATTTATACAAATCTATGAGTACTGTGTATAAATCTTTTTTAGAATGTTTTTTAAAAAGGGAAGTACTCATACAGTCCCCACTTTATCAAATTGATTTCATAGATCCTAATAATTTTCTTCCCTTAGAAAAATTGTGTTCAGGAGCCAAACTTCGAGTCTCAATTGAGTCATTGGGTGACTCCGACAAATCTACTTTTAGGAAAAGATGCCTAGAGTTTATGTAGAAACCGCAAACCAAATAAATCAAAGGTTTGACTTCAATGACCCCATTTTAATTAATATGGATTTAATAGGCGTAAAAAATATTTTGGACAAGAAAGCTGACAGTGTCATGCCACTTATGAAACATTTTCCAAACTTGGTGTCGGAGAATGAATTTCAACTGGTAGATAATGGATGGCGATTACTTCGAAATACGGATTTAAATTTTAGTTGTGATGTAGAGACATTCTGGTCAAAAATTGAAAGTATGCGCTACAGCGACGGAACTTCCATGTTTCCTGTTTAAAGTAGATTTGTTTTCAATTTGTTAATTTTACCACATTCATCGGCAAATCTAGAAAGAGTTTTTTCTGCGGTAAATCTAATGAAAACTAATCAAAGAAATAAACTTTCAACTACGAGTATTGTGGGACATCTACACACACACAATTATTTAAAGTCTATAAAAGTAAATTGTACAAAAGTTACATTTACAAAAGAAGTAATAAATTTACATAATACATATAATGATATATATAAACCAAAAAAGTATAATACTTTATCAGATTCCGAATAAATTCTATTTTTTATATAAGTACCTACCTCTAGTTTCTTACGTTTAATTTTTTTACTTGTTTTGTATTTTTGGAGTTGTTTATTATTTTTACTATTTACTGATGTTTTTTATGTACTCGTATCTGATGAGTATATCCTAAGTAACTTTATTTTGTGATAAGTTTTTTTTGAATTAAGAATTAGGTATAAGTTAAAATTTTTGTTTGGTGTACATATTCCTATATTTTCTTAAGCACACAAATTTTCTTTATTTATAAAAAATACATATTTTTTCGAGTTCATAGGTCTTTTTTATTGCCCTTTCCTAAAATTTGCATAAAATATATATCTACTGAAATCTACTGAATTTTTGGCAACCCATTTACTGATGAAATATATATCGAACTGGCAACACTGGGTAGGAACTATATTAGTCGTCATATGAAAGGCTTGAGGTAATAAGGTACCATTTTCGTAAGATAAACTCATTTTTGAAAACATTGTAGCTTCGTGCATTATTAAAAAAAAGTTCATCTCCAGGGCTAATTTAAACACGGTTCTTTTTGTAAACATATTACTAACAGCCGGTGCACACGGAAGTATTTTGACGGTGCGGTAACGCAACGTGGACGTTGCGTCGACGCAGGCAGTGTTTTTGAGAGAAGTTCACACGATCCTACAATAACGCAAGAAAAGAAAATACTGGGTACACGCTTATGTGAGTGCCCATGCATTAAAAGGAGCATTTGTTCGTGATTTTTCGGATTTGAGAAACGACGAGGAGAAGTTTTTCAATTATTTTAGAATGAGTTCCAAATCGTTTGACGAATTACATGATGTCTTCTCACCTCTTTAATCAATATTCCAGTATCTATATCAACGTCCGTCATTTTCAACAAACTGCTTTCCGTCGCTTGGGCGCACTCAATGATATAATCTAATGTACCGCTTCGCTCTTGGAACGTCGAAATGTTGTTGCGGCGAAGCAGTCAGCGCACGTCGGGTTTTCAACGGTGCGGTACCGTCGAACGTTGGACGTCGAGGTCCTGCGTCGACGTCTCGTGTGAATTGATCCATTTACGGCAATGTATTTCCGAGACGTGCGTATTTTAACGTGGCGTTGAGGTGTTCAATGTTCATTAAATCATTAAATATTTCGGAAAATACTGCCATCACCATATTAACCTCAGGAACCTATTTAGGGTCAAGTTTTATTCTCTCTATACCGGGTGTAAACGTTATGATAGTCATTATTTAAATGGGTGTTGGAGGGGGTTAAAAGAAGCAAAAAGTTTCATATAACGAGGGGGTCAAAACGACATTTTTTTAGAGAAAAGCGACTTTAAAGTAAAATGAAATCTGACAACGCCGCAATGCCAGACGCAAATTACGACGGAACGCAGTGTAAATAAAGATGGAGTTTGTTATTTTTGGCTCTTAAATATTGTTTCTGTCACTCTCTGTCACACTACAGTATGCATAAATAGTCAGATTGTCAGTATTTATTACAGTATTCGATACATTTATCAAAAAGTATCGGATACTTCTGACTTCAGAAAGTATCGGATCTTTTGTATCGGATAGATACTTTTTGCCCACCACCAGGCACCAGCGACATCGCATATATCGAAATACAGCATACAGGGAAAGTAATAGGACTCATTTTCTTTCGCCATGACTGTACTTCGGAGCGTGCGCGTACCGACTGGATTCGGTAGAGGGCGTTCCTAGCTAACGAATGAGCGGCTGGTCAGTTGTCTCCGAGCACTTGGAGAGTCAGGACAGGCATTTTCGCGCGACGTGTTTCTGTGAGTGGTGCAAGCCGAAAATGCAGCGTTCGTTAGAGCAGAGGTACGCGATTAAATTCTGTGTGAAACTCGGTAAATCTGCGACAGAGACGTTTGATATGATCAAGCAGGCTTACCCAGGTGTTGCTTTAGCAAGAAGTGGTGTGTTTCGGTGGCACCAGGCCTTTTTGGAGGGCCGGGAAGAGGTCGCTGATGAAGACCATGCTGGAAGACCTTCGACTATAACAAACACCTATCATGTGACTCGTGTGCGCAAAGTTTTGAACTCAGACCGTCGACTAAGTATTCGTTTAATTGCCCAGATGTTAAATTTAGAAAAGTCTGTGGTTCATGACATTGTGACACAGCTATTGAACATGGGCAAGGTGTGCGCGAAGATGGTCCCAAAAGTGCTCACTGACGACCAGAAATTGCGGCGAGTGGAAGCGTGCCAAAAAAAATTGATCATGTCTCCTCGCCCGAAAAAGGGAAGAATGAGCAAATCCAAAGTGGATACCTTTTTTATATTATTGAATATTTTTCAACCCATGTAAACTCAAAGATTTATAATATGCTGCAGTACGATGTTGAGGAGGTATCAACAGATCTTTAGATAGAGTTTGATAACCGTGTTCTTATTTGTTATTGAAGAGGTTCAATTTATTTGCTGCTAGCTACTGTTAAAATTCTTAAGGATCGAAAATAATCCCTGCAAGATTCACAATGATTCTAGTAACATATTTCTGATGAAGAAACACTCAATCTATCGATAAGCTGCATCCTCAGCTTAAAATACCATAACGCAAGCGACAGTTAAAGCTTGAATAGTATAGAGTACCCAAGTAAAACTTGGTTACTAGAGTGATTTGATAAACATTTCATATCATAAGCACTTTTACGTAATTTATGTCACACCATTTCCACATGTGGCTCCCAAGTTAGATGACAACCAATGGTAATACCCGACAAGTTAGCAGAAAGAGATCTTTCAATTGTTGAACAATTATTAAAAATAATAAAATCTGGGATATCTTTTAGCGAAAATTCATTGATTGGGTCTTATCTGTATTTAATATAAGGCCATTGTTGACCGACCATTTTTGAGCGGCTGTGAATTCTGGTTCACTATTATGAAAAAGTTCAATATTACTAGAACTGGTCAATAAGATGTTAGTATCATCCACATATGATATAATTTCACAACTTGAAACTGCATTCGGCAGATATTTACTGAGATCATTCGCATATAGTAAAAAAGGAAATGCTCCAGGACTAATCCTTGGGGAACACACCAGCCTCAATTACTGTCACATCGTTGTAGTGGCAATCCCCGAACTGCATATCTGCACGACTTATACAGCAGCAACTCATGATCAACATTATCGGAGGCGTAAGAGAAGTCTAAGAAAAGGAAACAAATATGTTGTTTTTTATCGCAGTTTCAGTACTTTTACCATTGATAAAACCATGCTGATTTTCCGAGATCACCATATTCCTATTGCAAGAATCAACCAGTTGTTTTTTCATGAAAAGCCCGAAAACCTTGATAGCTTGGCTTATGCCTCTGCCTGTAATTAGCATAGTCATTCGGCACTGATATTACGCTTGAAAAGTGACATTATGTCGATCTTTTTTGACATTGTATTGTTTTTTTGTGACATTATGTAGGTTTTTTAGTGATGTAAAATAATTAAGTAACGCTTACAAAATAATCGTTACAAATGAGTAACTAAATATAACGAGTCCTACTTTTTGAAAAGACTCGTTACTTTTTATTTGAATTCGTTACTTTGAATGCGATACGGTCTTTTTCTATGTATACTTTTTAATTACTGTTAGTTACTACACTATACATTACTTTAGATACAAACGTTACTGGGATCTAATGTAGCCAGTACTGCCAGCGCCAGCAGCAAGTGACTTGGTTCTTGAATGTAAACTGGGAGGAAATGAAATGATGCGAATATCGTTAGGCTTAGGCAACTTTAGATACTCTTCTATCAAACGAGTTGCGGACTGCGGAGCTTTAGGTTGGCAATGTTTGTGTACACCTGTACACTTTTCATTTGACTTTGAGAGCTAGCGGTTGGCGGGTTGTTACTGGTTTGGACGTTGCCGTACGAGCTCGGGCAATAATATAATTATTATTTGTACAAAAATATGGAATCATCCGCGTCCGGTTCAAGAGAATCGCAAACTCAAAAAAGAAGTGTTATTTGGATGCATTTCACCAATATATCGGAAGCTAATGCAAAGTCTAATCTTTGTAAAAATATTTATTCGCATAAAAATGGAAACATTAGCAATTTAAGGAAGCATTTGAAAACTAAACATCCGACTCTTTCATTGGAAGGAGAAAGGGCAAAACGGCGGGTGGAAGACGAAAATATGCCTAGGTGCAAAAAGAACTTAGTTTCAGGTATGTTTTATTATTATAAGTATTTTGTTGAACACCATTTACAGTGGAGTAACCACTGTTAAGTAGAGCAGGGGAGTAACCAGACTGTTAGGGCAGGAGACGCTACTCAACTAAAGTAAAGAGGGAGGAGAGTGGTTCCTCCACAGTCCCCATCTGGTTATGCCACTTGTTAAATACTATTTACAGCGTACAGCCAACGAACCAGACGTCACACAGCGACGAGTTTAAAATATAAGTACCTTCTACGTATCAAATATAAAAAAAAATAAATAGGCAAGGCATTAGACAAAAAATAATGATTGGATCAATCCTAAAGTAATAATTTGATATAATATATAGAATGTAGGTTCTAAACGAAATGTCCAAATAGTAACTAAACTAACGAGTCCAAAGTTCGAAAGTAACGAGTCCTTACAAGTCCTAAAAAGTAACGAAACTTTGCATCACTAAGGTTTTTCTACAAGATATTAACTTAGCACCAGCTGATGGACACTTGTTGCAACTCGTTTTTTTGTACATGTTGCCTAAACATCATGATGCTTTAGTTATCAATGCTTGGCTCTGATGTGAAATCTGCTTCAGAGGTGGTATTACTGGAGGTCTAAGCTATAAGTTGTATACTATACCTGCAAGGAAACGGCAATGCATAGGTGCATCGTGAGAATTTGTGTGCTAATAATATGTGTTGATGATAATTTCATTAGATTCTTACAATTACTTGAGATTCAAAGATAGAAATTTAGTTGCGCATCCACTTTTTCTGGAAATTACATATGCAAATTTGCTGAATTTCAAAAATGATAAGAGAAGAAAATCCCTGGCTGATGAAGGAACAAGTGAGAAAATATGCTACAGATAGGAATATTTATCAAAGTGAGAAGGTTATTACATTACTTTTTATTTACAGTCATTTAAATTTTCTAGAAATTTGTTTTGCGATGTCAGTAGAAAATACAAAGCAGCGCCTAGATGAGAGAGGCATTGCGAAAATGTTTGATGTGTGGTGCGTCATTACTAATATTTCTGTGATGTGGCTTAATTGCACACAACGCAGGCGCGGTGGCGATTTCTCGTAGTGCTCCTCAAAGTTTTTGAAAACACAAAAAACGGGAAAAATCGTAATTTATAACTTTGAACATAACCTGTCTTCTGAAAGGACGACATATAAATAACTCGTCGGTCACAGCTAATAGATATACTTCATTGGCAGCATATTCAGTAATAATTTTCTAACACAGCAAATATCACTGATTTTATACACATGCAGACCAATAAACATAATCATCCAGATGCCATCTTGCTATTCAACCGACTTTCGTTGTTTCACATCTTCTCATAGATGAAAACTACAGACTACTCGGCTTCACAAAACATATGCAACCAACAGTGCGTGTATTTGAGCCAATTCCTCCACAATGATCCCAGTGAGCAAACGTGGAATGACTGTTTGCACCCTAAAAACTACCTAGTCTGCAAGATGACATTTTATAGGTTTTTTACGTTTTATAGATTTTTTTACATAATACCCGTGCGGCATGGGCGCGATTAAAATACTTCCCTGATCAACTTTAAAATCGGCAGCATATTCAGTAATAATTTTCTAATACAGCAAATATCACTGATTTTATACACATGCAGACCAATACACATAATCATCCAGATGCCATCTTGCTATTCAACCAACTTTCGTTGTTTCACATCTTCTCATAGATGAAAACTATAGACTACTCGGCTTCACAAAACATATGCAACCAACAATGCGTGTATTTGAGCCAATTCCTCCACAATGATCGTAGTGAGCAAACGTGGAATGACTGTTTGCATCCTAAAAACTACCTAGTCTGCAAGATGACATTTTATAGGTTTTTTACGTTTCATAAGTTTTTTACATAATACCCGTGCGGCATGGGCACGATTAAAATACTTCCCTGATCAACTTTAAAATCGAATTCATATAAGAATAAAATATCGAGTCAAACTACTTACGGCAATTTTTTTAGATGCAACCAACAGAGGACCAGCTTTTCTATAACATAGACGATGTTATGAGAAAGAAGAAAAAGAAATAGTCTATGCTTCCAGGGTTTCATATAATTATTTGGTTGTAATCGAATATGTGTACAATTGATATGCGATCTGAGTTTTTTTTTAAACAAATTGTGAATGTATTTAATCTACTGTATTAATGCTTTATCAAAGTAGCACGGATGTAAATATTAAGTTGTAAATAAAATTTCTACAATACTGTTTTTATTTTCATCCATCTATAATAGTGTACTCAACCCAAAATAAATCTTAATTTTCTTAAAGACTTCAATAAATCAGAAATTTTTCAATAGCCTTATTCCTAATCCGTTGACCTATGATAAGGCTGACATTCACAGCCTAAGTAGCAAGGTACCGCGATTACCAAAAACCATTTCAAGCAGACTTTTACACCTTTTCTGAAATGGATGATTCAACACTTTGTTCACGACTGAGAATGAATTCTATTATGACACAATGAAATAACGCACAATCCGGTATCAAACCGTTGGAAATGTGACATTACTAATGTTAACAAGTATATTTTAAAAAATACAAAAAGTCTGACTGCAGTTACTGAAAAGAAACAATTTTTAATTGTGATATGAAGACGAATCTGACTTCACTTCAAGTGCCAAGTGTCGAAAATCGAGCGATACGCGAAACTCTACCGTTTTCCCGACTTTACCGCCGTTTTCAACCGATTTTCATTCTCGTGCCTCGACGGTTCGTACTCACTCGTAAAGCGCCGAGTTTCTATAATATTTGGTTAAGTTATTGTCAAACCCAAGACGGAGAATTATTTATTTCAATTTTGTTGCAACTTTCTTAACTTATAGAATTATCTTTGTACAAAGAATGTAACAAATAAGTCACAAATTAATACTTCCTGCGTGTACGCATTTCAAAACCATTTCGAAGCAGGATGACACTCCAATAAGCGCTAGATGGACACTGAACGAAATCACTCATCTATGATCGTGGAGGTGGAAGCCATTGGAATGTACTAGATGCGGTGTTATCAAACGAACCAATGGTGCAATCTTGCAGAATTTGTGGCAATCCTGACCCTTCAATTCGACCGAAAATAGAGCGCCGATAGGATAGATCGGGAATCAATTCTTAACAGACTCGACACAATTCACAATTCAAAAATTTATAACCTCAAAATAAAATCATTATTTGGGCGTAGAGAATAAACTAACGCATATTTTAATCATGCATCTTAATTCAAGGAAAACTGGTGTAGCGTTACTAAGCAACGTGGCGATGAGCCTCACTATCCAGCCGGCTTATATCTTCTTCTATCACACTCAACACCTTTTCCCTTTTCTAAAACACCTGGTTACTCTTTTATCAAGGGACCTCATCTTCAATGACTTATCCATAAGTCTTGTCGGTCTTTGGACAAAAGATCGAGTTTCTCACCAGCATTTTGGAGAATAGTAGAAATTCCAAACAATGAACATGTTACTTTTCCCGCTAGTTAAACAGTTCATCACTGCGCAAAGGGAGGCTTCTCAATAGTTCTTCACAAATAACTAAAAAAACAGTAACAAAATATCCAACTGATTTCTGATTATTTCACACCAAGGGTTTAAAAGAAATAAGCTAAAATAGATGAGTTAATAAACAATGAACTAAATAGCCACCCGTTTGTTGGTCTTCATATGGCGGATGTGTCAAAGTACAGCGTTACCAGATGGGTCCGTCAGAGTTTCCCCCAGAACAAGCACAAAAAGTAGCCTCAGAATTACTACTTAAAAAAATCCCCAATTATATGCATTATATCGCCCAAAAAATCTCCGAGTAGAAATTAATAAAAATAAATTTTGATATCATTTTTTACTTCCTTTGACAATCCTACCTCGGAATAGTACCAGTGACACGAGTAGCGAAAAAATAAAAAAGTTGTCAAAACGCTAAAATTCCTATTTTTCCGAACGCTTTGAGCGTCTCCAGGCCGAACCGTTCGACCAAGGACCGTGAAATTTCACAAAGATTCATGCACATAGAAAAAAATCACGAAGGATCTTGAAAAGCGATCTGCATGCACTCGCGAAGCCTCGGTAGCATTTCTAAGACACTCACCGTAAATTAAAATAATATGGACATTTCCGATATTGCTGTATGGGTATGCCACTTTTGTTTTGATTTTTTTAGAACCGATGTGTATTTTGTTGGTTATGTACACAACTTTAGAAAACAACAAATAAGCGAGATTGGCGAATTTGATGTGACTTACGACTAAAACTCAGTGATGCATTATTCGAGATGTGCCTTTGCCATGAACTCAAAGTTTCCGTCGATTCTAGCCAAGGGAAACAATCTTTCTTATTTTTCCTTTCTTCCGACTTGATCAACCGCCAACCTCTATTGGCCAAATATTCATTGAAAAACAAACTATTGTCAAAACCAAAAAACTCTAATTTAGCAAAAAGCACCTGATGATTCAATTTATCAAACGCTTTATGATGATCGATTCCCAGTGAACATAGGGACGTCATTATGACGGCAATTTTAGGGCACTACCGACGTACTCCGACCAATAAAAATGACGTAGAAATGACGTCATTATGACGGTCTAATGTCATACCCAATTGACGTCATTATAACGTCACAATATGTCGGATAAAAGACCAAATAAAATCTTGTTGATTTTGGATATTTAGGATTTTTTTAAAATTTACAATTTTAAAAATTGATGAATAAAATAATGTGAGCCTTAAGACACAACTTATGCTGAAAGTTGGAATTCTGCCTCAAATGTACTAAATTTTCAATAAAACATGCAAGAAATGTTTTGTATCTTTATTGAAAAATAAAATACAAAAATGTTGGTTGGACATTTATGAACCTGCAAAAGGAACTTGACAGTTCTATATGATTCTACATGTTCTTAACACCAATCCCCAAATAATACCATTGATTGTTTTATTCTAACTGATTTTCAGAATTTAGAAAATTCTGAAAACCTTCAATTTTTGAAATTCTTGAAATATTTCAAAATTCTCGGAAACATTTTTTTTTAGAACTTTGAAATTTTTCAATTTTAACAAAACTTGAACGAAATACTTTTTAATTTATTTATTGAAAAATAAAATACAAAAATATTGGTACAATATATATGAACCTGCAAAACGAACTTAACAATATTTTATATGATTCTACATGTTCTTTAGATCAAACGCAAAATAATGCCATGGATCGATGTATTCCAACTGATGGTGCTCAAATGATATAGGCATAAAAGGGATGCCCCATCTATGACAGTCATGCAGAATCAAACACTCATTGTGGATTTCTAAATTCATGTTTGTAATCTGCTACTGTAGCACAGATGGGCACTGAGACAGATCGCTTTTTGCAGATGCCTTTTTGGGCCAGGATTTATGATTAGAGATCTTCAGGTAGCATACCTGCTTTAATCAATGATAATGCGTAAATTGTTTGCAGTAAATGCAATTTCCACACAAAAAAAACAGAAACTTAGGCACTGACTATAAATAGGTCCTTATTGAGAGCTGAACGAATACCCTGAAGTGGCGATTTTACATTTGCACTTTACAGAATAACAGATGGTAAAGACTTTTTTCAGAATATTTAAACTTTCAAAATTTCCAAAATCGTCAAAATTTTCAAAACATTCAGTTTCAAGTCTTTTTCGACTTTTCTTTCAACATTTACAAATTTTTCGTGAAGTTTTTCGAGATTTCAAGAATCAGAATTTTAAGTTTTCGTAGTTTTCAAGATTATAAGATGTATAGATGTTCAAGATTTTCAAAATAATGTGTTCGAAATTTTTGTGGTTTTAAGGACTTTCAAAATGTTCAAATTTTCTATAAAATTCGGAATTTCCAAAGTTTTAAAATTTGTCGAAATTTATTGATTTTTAAAAATTGTTGGATCCAAATATTTGGAATTTTTCAAAATACTCAAAATTCACAAAAAATTTTCTTCGACTATAAATGTGGGCCTAACATTCTGCAAATTTACCGCTCCGAAATGCTCTATAACAACTAACATAAACTGAAGTATAGAAAAATATATATATGCCTTACTCATACCTCAAATCAAATTATTGGTACATGGATGCCTCGCTTAACACAACTCTTAACATTACAATAAAATATAAATATATATCATTCGTTTTTAAACAATAATAACACCCAAAAAACACAACAGCTTCATGATAAACTTCAAAAATGAGGCTAGAAAAATTCATATTTTTTTTTACTTACGCAAACCGATCACACAACATTTGAAAAGACAGTGTGTCAGTTGCTTTACGAGATTTTTGAGCAATCTTGCCTTTTTCCATGCTCAGTACTTTAAACCTCAAGTTAGATTAAAAGAAAGTGAGTTTCATAGAAATATTTAGAAAATACTTTATACTCAAAACTTATAAGTTACAGCAGATTATACAGCAAGAAAAATACTGGTATGAAATAAATGCATCCATACAATGTTGTACCGAGCATACATGCGTATAAATACCAGAATAAAAGGAAAACGAGGGTCTGCCATAGTAGGTGGACGCCATGCAATCTGAAACAAATATTAAAATGTGAGAGACTCCTGTATACTTGAAAAGTAAACATTTTCTTTTTCTCTAGGATGAATCACATGCTAAAAAGACCACTTACATTTGATCTTTTGTCTTGGCAGAGTTCAAAGTTTTGATAGGATCTTTGCTGAGATATATCCTGGAGCCTCTCGTTAGATCTTTGAAGTACTCGTGCCAAACCAACGTTGCCACTTCAACCGTAAATGTGTTTTGATCATCGCCTACCATCCAATCCTGAAATAAAATCAAACATATGTATACATGGTCTGTATACGCAGCCCCTCCATTCGGTGCAGCCTACCTGACCAAGACCAATTAGTCTACAGCCCTAGCTGACAACCAACTTTTAGGATCGACTGTTAGACGCAAATTTAATTTTACCCATGCCACTGTTCCTTTGTTCTTTCAAGCTGCTTGATGCTTGTAAGATATCTCCAATCGTTTTCTAGTTCAACCACGCCGCCTTGTAGATACACACCACGGTACCACCGTGCGAAGAAAGTAACCCGTATATGATTTATCGGATGAGGGCATCTGCAACAGCGGGTATGTTTAGTAGATAGCAACTCGAGAGAACGGAAGGTCTGCTCTACGGAATGGAAGAGGTGCGGGCTCGAATCCCGCCGGCACCCATTTTTCCTTTCTCTCAAGTTGTTGTTTACTAAATATACTCGTTGTTGCGGATACACTCATCAGAAAAATCGTATACTGTCCTCTCATTGTGATGTGTACCCACGAGACGGCGTGCTGCAACTAGAAAGCGATTGGAGATACCGTACCAATCCGGTTGGTTTCTCTTCAACGCCGCCAGATGGGGCATCAAGCAGCCTGAAAGAAAAAAGAAACAGTGGCGGAGGTAGGATTGAATTTGCCTCCAATCTCTTAAATTTTTGTTTACTAAATGTATACAGGGTGTTTAAAATTAGACTCTCACTGTTGGGATCTCGGAAACGGTAAAAGTTACAAAGCACTTAGAAAGTTTCAGAATTCAGAGAACTTCCGAAGATGGACAAAAAAGAGAACGAATTCTCACAAAACAGTTTTTGTTGTTCCCGAATTTATTTAATATATATACAGGGTGACCAACGAAAAGGTCGCACCGCACAGGGCGATACAAAAATAAGATATTGCGTTACACTTTCGATTCCTAAATGGAAAGCAGCATTTTTTTAATTTTTATATTTTCCATGAAGTTTTTAGTAACTTTTATATGATAAATTTTATACCTATCTTCAATCGTTGTGAAGCTATTTGAGTTTATAACAAAATTTAACTAACATAATACTGATAATAATAGAATGCACAGCAAAAAATAATAATCATGGATACCAGCAAGAATATTTAGCATCAGTCAGTGTCATTTTATGTCATAGGAAAACTATGTCAGTCATTTCAAATTGTTAAGTTACCTACCTAGTTGTGATAAATATTGAACAATGACTTATTTAATTCAAGAAAGGGTAGAAATAACAAAACTGTATTACCAACATTCGCCATCGAGAAAATCGAATAGTTAGAAATGAAGTCGTAGAAATAGTAGATTTAGGACACGTAGCACTTGACAACACCCAAAGCACTCGTGGACTGGCTACTTGTTCAGGATTTACACGCTTAACAGTACAAAGAATTTTGAAAGACAAATTTCATCCGTACCAGGTAAAACTTGTCAATGAGCTTAATGAAGACGATTTTGATAGAAGGTTGTAGTTTTGCGAATTAATGTCACAACGTTTAATCAACAATGCAAATTAATCTGTTATTTAATATTTGTATTACCACTTTGACCTACATCTTTATAGCAAATTAATTTTTATTTTATCTTTAATGTGCGTCTAGACTGAAAGTTTTTTTGTTTTTTTTTAATACCCGGAGACTTGTTTTTAATTTTATAGTAAAGTCTTGTTACTATGGGAACTATATTGATTATTATTTTTACGATATAATCCCTTATTATCACATTTTCCAGAATTTTATTGTAATCTCAAATAGCTTCACAATGATTGAAGATAGGTATAAACTTTTTTATACAAAAGCTACCAAAAACTTCATGGAGAATCTAAAAATTAAAAAAGATGGTTTCCAATGATGGTCTGGATGTAACGCATTAAACAACCGCCTCTTTTAATGCTACTATTTTGGTAATACACTTTTATTTCTACCCTTTCCTGAACTGAATAAGTCATTGCTGAATATTTATTACAACTAGGTAGGTAACTTAACAATTTGAAATGAAAGATAAAGTTTTTCTCTGACATACGATAACACTGACTCATGCTAAATTATCTTGCTGGTATCCATGATTATTATTTTTTGCCGTGCATTCCATTATTGTCAGTATTGAGTTAGTCTAATTTTATTACAAACTAAAATAGCTTCACAACGACTGAAGGCAGGTATAAACTTTATTTCACAAAAGTTACTAAAAACTTCATGGAAAATCTAACAATAAAAAAACGGGTCTCCACTTAAAAATCTAAAGTGTAACGCAACATCTTACCTACGGCTGTAGATGAAAAGAGAATTCAAAATTGACGAGACCGAGCATTTTCCTCAAAATATACCAAGAGAGTCACAAATGGGTTGCGACCTTTTCGTTGGGCCACCCTGTATATAATGTTTCGTCTACTGTCTTGAGATATCAATTTTATTTTTTCTTAAGAACGCTATGTTGGATGTTTGCAGAGAACAATAGTGTTTCTATTTTTTATTTCAAAAATGCATATTTCATACATTAATATTGGACAAGATTCCCAAGTAGGCCATGGAATTCAGATAGTCATTTGTTTCATGATTACACCAGCTAAGGGTCGTATCGTCAATCGTTCCTACAATTATTGTAGGACGCCTTTATGGCCTCCTTGGTTTTCACTCTTTTATGTTCTTCACAGAGGCTGGGGCATTTCTATATTTCTACTGTTCCGTGTCGGCGTCAGCGCTCTCCTATTGTGAGGTTATACTTTCTTTTCTAAATGTAGGAAATTTCAGGCTGATTAAACAGATGATGTAAATCAAAAGGATGAACAATTTGATAAAATAGATATTTGTAACGTAACCTCAAAATAGAGCGCTGACACTGAAGAACAGGAAAAACAAGGAAAATGAAGGAGGCCTGAAAGGCGTCCTACAATTGGACGGCTTTTTGCAGAAAGGAACCAACCCACTAAATATGAAAAATCTAGATTTTAGGAAATTAAACTATTACGAGCAATATCCTTTACTGTAAAGAAGATCCATACACATATTTAATCGTGTTTCGTCTGCGGTGAATTTGTTATCATTGTCAAAACTTTGTATAATTGTTTTTCTGGGTTGGTTTCTTTCTGCAAAAAGACGCCCAATTGTAAGACGTTTTTATGGCATCCTTGATTGTCATAGTCTTTTATCTCCTTCAGAAAGTCTGGGGTATTTCCGTGTCAGCGTCAGTGCTCTTCTGTTGTGAAGTTGTTTTCTTTTTGAATTGTAGGGAATTTCAAGCTGATAAAACAGATGATAAATACGAAAAGCATGAACAATTTGATGCCGATAGATATTTGTGAAATAACCTCAAAAAAGAGCGCTGACACGGAACAGTAGAAAATATGAAAATCAAGGAGGTCGTGTAGGGAAGCTCATTCTCACTTTTAGATGATTTTTGAGCACTCATCTCCTTGTGTAGGTATTATTTTATCTAAGGATGATATACCTGTAGATCCGCAGTTTTTCGTGCCACAAACTTCCATTCCGTGAAAATGAATTTCTCCAGCCTATTCAGCGATGTATTGACATTGCCATGAAGTTTCATTAAACTGAAAATAAAAATTATACAGCTTAAAGGGGTCTATAATGAAATAGTACAACTTGCAGCTCCTTTACGCAGCCTCACGTCAAATTGAAAAACTCTAATATAAAAATGGGTGTAAGCATGCAGGATGTCCAAACTTTAGGTTTAGCGACATTAATTTTTGCAAAAATAGTGTCGTTTTCTCAAAGCCGTGTTGACTCTGCCTCATGAAGTTTTTCGTTATGTGAAAAAAGTGCCAGGCGGTTGCTATTTTTTAAAGACGATAGACAGATTGCTGTACTGGTAAATAATTATAAATAAATGTATACCTGGTGTCCGATCCATAGATCACACACTTTGTAGCTGCTATACATACTTTCGTTCGTTAAAATCCTTTCCGTGAAAAACATAACCTTTTAGAAATCCAATACAATTTTGTTTTTTAAAGAAGCGCAATCTTTGAATAAATAAACGTCGTACCACAAGCGTAACCAATAATTTCTCCAGCACTGTTCAACTTAAAAAGGTCATTGATATACAAATTAAACAGGATTGGTCCTAATACGGTTCCTTGTAGAACTCCACATTTGATTACCATATTTTCTCTTAAAGAACTGTTAATGTTCACATATTGCTTTTTATCCTCCAAATATCTTTTCATGAGATGGTAAGTTTTTTATGCGTAATGCTATCAAATGCTTTGATCAAGTCTACAAAGACGCATGCTGTTGGCTTGTTACTATCAATGTACTTATATATTTCGATACATAAGTGCACCCTGAGTTGACTGTGGTTCATGAAATCCGTATTGCTGTTCAGATACGAGACTGTATTTCGCAATAAAATGAAAATCGTTTTTAGAACTTTTACGAAAATTTTGGAAGAGTTTGTCAATACAAAATTGGATCTACATTATCCAGTTCAAAAATTATTTCAGTTTAGGGAGCCGCAAGGCTGTAAACTGGGTCCACTACTATTTATTTTATGCATTAATGACATTTGTAATATTTTAAATGTAGATACACTAAAATTGAATGCTTCTAAAACAAAATGAATGCTAATAGGGAGATACGTAAGTGAAAATACTATGACAGTTAGGATAAATGGTGAAATAATTGAAAAAGTTGAATCAATTAAATATTTGGGTATATGTATATATTGATAGTAAACTAAAGTTTAAGGATCACTATGAATATATTATTTCAAGCATTGCCAAAAAACAAATTACTTTTATAGGGCTTCTCATAGTCAGCAAATAATTCAAAAAATAGTGTATAATATAATATAATTCTATGGTATTTACTATATTGTTCATCTGTCTTGTTCACTGCCAATGAAGCTGTATTCTTGAAATTACAAGTCCTACAAAATATAGCCATTAGACTAATATTAAATAAAAATAAATACACCAAAATAAAAGTTATTTTATAAGAATTGCAGTGATTGAATATTAAAAATTTCATATCATATTTTGTTCTTATTATCGTATTTAAAAAATTAACAACATCTTTTGTCACAACATTCAGAACATTACATATAATTGAATAATCGTTACCACAATTATTATACAAGAGAAAATATAGATTTCCATTTACAAAATTGCAATAGTAATATAACTAGCAAATCAATATTTCAGAAGGGATTACTTGAATTTAATAAAATAAATAATGATATGAAGTCTACATGTAATTTAATGATGTTTAAAAAAAATTAAAGGAACATTTCATGGACAGTGAAAATTCTTAGACATGCAAATTTTGTGTTTCTGAATATTTGTATGTGACACTCTGTATCACCCTGTATAATAATGTGTGATTCAATTTTCCTGGCAACATTCTTTATATCCGACACGAAGGCTGAACGCCAAAAAATCGCCCACACGCGGATTTAAAAAACAACGTTTCTCAACAAGAAACTAAAACCAAATACTCACATTGGTCGTCCACCGGTAACTCTGAGCACCATATCCAGCAAAATAGCCGGCAAAATATGTACGAAGAACGCCGAGATCTTGTACCACGTGATGGACGGTAGTAGTTTCAAATGTGGATACCAGATGGCCGACTGGAGAGGGAACATATGAAGATAATCGTTGATTCTATCCTCGACGCTGTACCATCTGAACGGGTTTCTGGTGCTTGTGGTTGCGTGGAAGATTGTCACAACTTTGGGCTTTGTAACACCTAGAAATGAATTTTGATACACTGGTTTACCGTCGTTAAATTAAATGACATTTCAGTGCTTCATAGTGTGCTTAATAATAAACTTCATTGCTCGAAATCAAGTTTGTGGTGCCAAAGAGATCAAGTTGTTATAATGCAAATTACTTTTTGGATTCTTTAAAACCAACACTAAGGAAACAAAAAAATCTGCAAAGATTGCAATCAAATCTCATAGGAGATTTATTACAGTTTTCGGAAATACACTTACATCCCCTTGTGATCACTGGTTACCGAGAAATCAGTGGTCGATGACAAAAGGATCGGTTTTCATTCAAGAGATTTTAAAAACAAGATATTGAAACTGAATAAACGGGCAATCTGATCCATATGATGTCCTTTAGAAAAAACATTTTTCAAGCCCTCGAATTAAAAAGAATGCAAATTTTTTTTCTCGTGCTATCTATTAGAATTACATTAGAACCGTTACTCCTAAAATGTTTCTGCTAAAGACCCTGAAAACTAGAATTTTCGTATTGCTTTTTTGAAGTCTAGATACGACCATTTTTCACCAAGATACAGTCTGTCAAAAATCACCGAAAAATTTTGATTTTTTTCTTGCTCCCTTAATTTTTTTGAGTAGTGCATAAAAATTTCATCCTGTATAAATGATTTTTACCTGCATAGTATCCAGCAGCCAACATATTGTTCACGACAATATCAACGGGAATGTAATCATAGATCAAGCGGGAAGCAACGGGTAATCTTCTGATAACACCTTTAGATGCGCCCATGAAGAATCCTTGAGGACCGTTTTTGCTAATTGTCCAACCGGGGACTGGTTCTTTCCACGACCCAACAACTAAAATAAAAGAGAAATGTTGGAAACAAACATATTTGGAACCCAAGAGACTTGTCTCGATAAAAAAATTGATTTGGGTATTCTAGAAGAATACTCGTATACTGTATTCCGAAATCCAAAAGATCCTACTGCCATCCATGAGACAGTGGTAAAGATAAAAATGAATTTAGAGATCTATCTAGCTAGAATTTTAAAGCCTCAGATTGCTTTTCTTGAAGTCTAGATATGACTATGTTTCACCGAAATACAACCTGTCAAAAATCACTGAAAAATTTGGATTTTTTCTTGCTCCTTTCATTTTTTTGAATAGTCTATTATCAAAAATATGCCAACATCTATTGGAATTCGTTGGAAAAACATACATAATGTCATCAAAAATTAATATGTCACTATTCAAGTTTCGTAATACGGGTGCGATCCTCTATGGAAAATGAGAATTTTACAGAAACGACAACAGATGCGATCCTCAAAAATTCACATTCCTCAATACAAAACCAAAAGAAAAACATTGTTGAGAATTACTTACTCATACTTGGTCTCACAATGGTACAAGGGAATAGTTTCTCCATTTTTTGCACTTCCAATTCAGCCAAATGTTTGGTTATCGTATACGTGTTAGGATGCTCTCCAAGAATATCTGGCGTCTGTTTGTCCAGATCTTCAGGACTCAGCTTATTCACCAACGATATCAACTCTTCGGCGTCCATTTTGTTTGGAAGTGGGTAGATTACCTAGAAGGTTCCAATGATTTAAGAGAAAATTTTGGTAAAATGTCAAAGGCAATAGTGTCGCCATTTTAGAGAGAAAAACTTCCATTTATTATTTGAATTAGTAGTTCCTAAATAACACTTGTGATGGGCTCAAAAATTTATGATGGTCTGAGAATTTACATGTGTCTCCCTGATGCTTTCAAAGGAATTAACAATCTAAAAATTGTGAACTTAAAAACTTTTTAATATGTAAATCACATTATACCTTGTGCGAGTTCTAGAAGTCACTTCCTTGAGATCCACATGTAATTATATTATAGTTTAGTTTTAAGTTAGATTTGCCATTAAGAATGATTGTGTTCATCAGTCAATAAAGCATATTTATCTATCATAACAGTACATAAATCAACGGGAAACCGCAATCAAATCAATAACCTTTTTCGAAAATTCTGATAGAAGTCAAAATCGATTATGTCTAAATAGGCTACTAATAAACGTACTTCCTCAGCATGTAATCTCCAAGAGTTTACATACGCGCTACTGACATGGACCAAAGCATTGAGTTTTGAGCAATCCTTTGCAAGCTGTGTGATCCTCCTTGTTCCTGAAATTGTAAAACATCTCAAATTAGTATACATTTTATATCATCACAACTGTCACACTTCGTATTTTTTTCAAAAGTTAGTAAACAAATATTCACCCAATAGGTTGATATCGACTGTTGTCTTCAAGGTGTCACCAAAATCCAAAGTTGCCGCGCAATGAATGATGATATTGACACAGTCTGTAAGCAATTTTCTGTCTCCGGCAGAAAGACCCAAGTTGTCTTGGGCAACATCTCCAGCGACTACTTTCACTTTTTCGAAAACCTGCAACATTTTTAAGAAACAGTACAGTTGTACAAATTTCACAATAAAACAGTAGAGAAGCCTTTTGACGAATTTTCATGTTGCCAGGCATAAAATTGCGTAAAGATTGTCTAAACAGTTATTCAAAAAAAAAAATTGTGTTTGTCGCTCCAGAGAAAATTGTTAGAGGTTTTTCGGTTCATTCCTAGGAACAAAGGTTATTATGAACGTTTCTATAAAGGCAAGAGTTTTTGGACCCTGTATTTGAAAATAATTCAGAAAATGCCTTTGCATTAGCTCTAAAAAATATTCTGACTCGATTATTTGCATTACCGTATTTAAAAAGCACCCCAATTAACGAGTTTGCATGTTTCTAGGCCCAAAACGATAAAAATTGTGCAGACAGTTCTTTTAAAAACATTTTTGGCGCTCCGGACAAATTGATTATGTGTTTTTTGGGTCGTTCTGAACAATAAAGGTTCTTATGAACGTTTCTCTAGGACGAAAATTTCAACGTCGCCTAAATATTTCTCAAACATCCATTAACCAATCCGTAAAGGTTTCAGGTGGTACAGTTATGATAAAACTTGAATCCAATATTACAACTTAAGGTGAATTTCCATTTACCTAAGGCAGTTGGGCTTGCAACTTGTTTACATGGAAACACACCTCAAGACGATTTGTCGTCCTTATCCTCATACTAATTCAATATACAAAATTTAAAGATCATCGGCATTTTCCGAACTATAAACGAGGTCAAGGATTATTACTTCCTTTCATGCAGAGTGCAGAAAGTAAAAAAATGAGTTAAAAGTAGATTGCATCAGTAGTTTCCAAAAATAAATGGAATAAAGTAGATCGATTCTACACTTCCGACGCCTTCGTTGGAGGTTTCAAAGAAAAGTGATGATCGTTTCGAGAATTCGAATCGTGATTAGGTAGGTACACTTTGGAACGATGAATCTTCGACCGCTGCATATCAAACTATATAAAGCAAATCCTATTTGTGTTACCATGGCATATGTAAAGAAACTATCTGTGACTTATCATGTCTAACAGGTGCCTAGTATCACTGAGATCATCAGCTTCATAATAATAGAAGGTATTTCACTGACACCAAATGTGCAACAATTTACAACTATTTACCGCAAACAGCTTCTATACTACAATTTTCATTCCCTCCAATGTCTGAAAATCAAGGACGGATTAAGGATTTCGTCTAGGGGGGGGGGGGGTCGTAAACGATATTTGGCGATGATAATTTTTCGGCCTCAGTGGAACGTCTAGAATTCAACCTATTATTGCTCCTTCAAACCATTATGTTCTACCTGGCCAATACAAAAAAAAAACATGGAAGTTCTTCAGAAAATCGGCGCATGATCCGAAATAGCCGCCGGTAGTTCCCCTTTCGGCGTTTGCGTCATTAGATTCGCCAAGCGCGTTTGCGAAATTCACTGGTATACGCGTGTGTGTGTGTGTGTGTATGCTTGTTTCAGTCAGGTTCATAATCGCTAAGATGGAGCAGCATAGAAATAAACGTTAACGCGTTGTTATTACCATAGGACAGAAACTTGAGGAAATCAGACGTTTAGATAGAGGTGATTTGGTTAAAAATGTGGCAAGTGATTCAAAATGGAAAAAACAACGCGAGAAAATTGAAAAATGGTCTAGTGTTCTGACATCAATCGCAGCCGTCACGGAAAATAATAAAAAACGGGGAATATCAAAAAGTGGATGATGATTTATTGGTTTACACAGAATCGAGAACGTGGAATACCAATTTCCGGACCAATTCTAAAGCAAAAGGCAGTCAACGGTGGCCGCAGTAGTAGACTCTTCGGTCTCCTGATCACTCGCCGTGCGCTGTGCGGGTTCGAGCCCCGTCCAGGAGAAATTTTTCTCTTGGCTATGGATGTTGTGATTGTCCGTAGGTGGTAGACGGTCTCCGACTGTCGAACGCGGAGGTACCACCCGGCGGACCTCGTAGGCGGAGCTAGAATGTGTGCATGTTGCATGCACACGTGTTCCCTCGCCAAAGTCCGTGTGGCGTTCCCCGCTTTCCCATGTATCCCACTTTACAGCCCCACGGTACCCAATGGGTGCTTAGGCCTTCGTGGTAGTTGGAGTATAAAAAAAACTTAAGTGAAGAATTGCCAGTTATTGAGGCGCCTGATAACTTTACAACCAGTGACGGTTGGATGCATACATGGAGAAAACGACACGGTATACGAGAATTAAAAGTGCAGAGAAAAGTTATCTGCCGATAAATCCGCTGCATTAAAACTTGAAGAAGCAGTATGGTTTAAATCCAGAACAAACTTACAACTGCGACGAAAAGGGCCTAAACTATAAACTGTTACTGGCGAAAAGTTTAGCTTCAAAACAAGAATCCTTGCTTGTAGCAAAGCTTCCGGTACTCACAAACTTCCTTTGTTGTTAATCGGAAACTCAGCTGAACCAAGAGCATTTAAACACGTCCGTTCCAACGCTCGTCCAGTGTGGTATAAGGATAAAAAAAAGGCTTGATGGATCCCGCTCTATTTAAGGACAATGTTCAGTGCCACCCACGTGAGGAGCAACTTAAAAGTGAAGAAATACGAGTGATGTTTTTTCCTCCTGATGTAGCGACATTGATTCAGCCAATTGGTCAAAGAGTTTTAGAAAATTTAAAACACAACGCAATTACAGACACTTGTTATTAGAGCAAATTTTAGATCAAGTTGACAATGGTTGTAATCTCGTTGATTGTTTAGAAGAGATTAACCGCAAGAATGTGGCATATTGCATAGCAGAAGCATGGAGTCAAGTAAAAAATTCTACTTTACAATAATTTTAGTCGACAACAATTAAGCAAGAAATGGAACCTTGCGCAGGCTATGAGGATAACAACGAAAATGTACATGAGAGCGTTGACTTACTTCGAACAACAAGAAAATACGAAAGCAGCTGATGTGCTACTTATCAAACGTTGAAGGGATATTGCTGCCAAAAATAGGAACAATGCAAAACGAGTACAGTTAAAAATTACTTCCTTTGTTGCTAAATAGTCGTAAATATGTATGTTTGTATCCACATAATTATATTTTACGTAACTTTATACTCACTTAACACAGCATTACTTTTTTCAATAAAAGCATTATGAGTCTAAATATATAATTATGTTTTATCCGAAATTTCGATTATCCGAAAGCACTTGGGTCCACATTGTTTCGGATAATCGGGGTTCTACTGTAATTGGTGCAAATACTGACACAATCAAGCACTTCTATTATACCAGCAGGTGATAAAAATATCAATAGGTATAGTCAACTATTTTTTGAAATTCAATATAGATGTTACAGTTATTCTTCTTTCAAATTACTACTGAGCAAACAGAACATAAATCACTTTTTAAGTAAAATCTGTATAGCTAATATATTACTCAGACTCAGATTTGTAACAAGTCACAATACTCGTATATACGTATAAATCGTAAGAATTGTGCTGTAAACGTAAGTGATCCTATGTCAAAGAGGGACAGCGTTTGGAATACCAAAGGATACCAAAAAAATCGCAATGCTCAGCAGTTCCTGTAGCTATAACTTATAGTTAGAATACCTCTGTCGCCATGATGTGTCAGAAAGTAACACAATGGTGATTACAAAAAGCAAGTGTCAGACGTCTGGGGGGAGAGCGCCTTCCCCCCCCCTAAATCCGCCACTGCTGAAAATGAGCAGGAATCTCTGAAACGTTGTAACATGATTTTAATTCCACTGCCGTAATTTTACAAATCTACGGCTACCTAAACGATGGAAGTATTAATCTCGTGAACTTCTCTTCACAAGTTTTCTTTTGCTTAAAGATATCTGCATCACACAAGTCCGTGTTTCGCATTTATGTCGGTTTTTCAGTCAGTGTTGTTGTATATCAATGCGTCAGACGTACTGAGTCAATCTACTTGACGGAATATGCATAGAACCACCATAGACGGAGTAACACAAATTAAATGTTAGACGAAATAGGTGGTACATTTAAGGATCATAAAATTCATAAAAATATATGTGTAAATATAAAAATAGTTGCGTAATAATTTACAAAAGCATCGCAGAACGCTAAAATGGTACGTACTTCTAATATCCAAATATTGCCAAAATATATAAATATTTCTTATGTAGTGATTTGTCAGTGGCGACATTACCGCAGACTAGTTGGCGTTTGTTACCCATTGCACAGTCGGCGGTGGCCTCCACGACGATGAAGCATCGCGCCATGCACGCAACGCCGATTGCCAAGTTATTTCAAATATTTAATTTTCCCGTCGTTACCGGTATGAGAAGGTTTTAAGGATAGAATGTCTCTGACTAATATTAAAGACGTTACATTTAAAACAATCCCCTACACCCCCTAACAACGACCAAGTTTCAACCCCTACAAAAATGACCAGAAACGTCAAAAAACGAAGCATAAGTTTTTTCATGTTTTTGCCCCTAGCTCCGCCACCACTAGACTGATTTTCAAAAACTACAAAGATTTTTCATCCTTGACATAGTAGAAAATTTGTGTGAAAATTTCATCAAAATAAGAGTACTTCTCAATGTATAGGCGGTTATAAGATTAGCTGGCAGACCGAGAGACAGACCGACGCAAATGAGTGACACAGTTTTTCGTGATGTAAATCTCATATAACATCAAAAAAAAAAAATATATATTAATTGAGAAATTTTTCGCGATTACAATGCTTCCTCGCCAGTTTTGGGATATGAAGTAAAATGATAAAAAACAGTTTTAACACCAATACTACTAAATCAAAAAAACTTTGTTGATTTTGACTACCCACCTCTTCAACACTGCGATCCTCTAACACTTTCTCAAAAACCTGATTCTTCTTAATCTCCTCCAACCTTTCAGCGATATCCTTCCCTTTCTTCGGCCTCAGCAACAAATAGATGTTCCCATGGTGTGGAACACACCTCAAGATCTTCTCCAAAAGGCATATTCCCAAGAACCCACTGGCACCAGTGATGAAAATATTCTTGCCTTTGTAAAACTCCCGCAATCTTATACTTGCTTTTCCCGTGTCGCCCATTTTTCAACTAGACCTTTCTACAAAATTTTTAAATCAAAACTGTTTTTTCTATAGAGGAATAGGTGTGTTATGCATCGATGTTTTCAGTAGAATAACATATTTTTTAAGCGGTTATAGTTCACCTAAAACCCGTTATACCAGTATTTCTTATAGTTAATTTTCGCAAGACCAATGTAAAGTTAATGGTGCCAGTCATTATTATAATGAGAGATATTTGAAAAATTATCGTTTGGAATACACATCATCGTAAGTATACGAAGGTGATTTGGAAATATTTTTTTGTGGAACAGTGCAGTTGGACTTTAGAATTACAAAACATCAAGGTTTGTAAGAATTTTTCCTCTTATGTGTCAGTTTGTCAAAAAAATAACTGTAAACTATGCGCTTCAATTGCACACAAACTTCTTTAGATTAGGCGAAAATCTCGCATTATTCATGAGAGAAATTTTCCCAGATTTTTTTCGATAATCATTTTTGTTGAACGCCACTTAACACGAATCAATAGGTTTTTGGGTGGTGCAGATTTGTTCCAATTTCTTCTTAGATTTTTTGGGCCCTTCTACATAAAAAAGGTTCTCAGTAAAATTAAGTCTATGTTAGAAGAACTGCAGTGGCTGAATGTAAAAATGATTATGTTATTAAGCTCTCATTTTCATATTCAAATTAAAAAATCATTTATTATCACCATATTTAGAAAGCTTCACAAAACAAATAGCCATTATCATAACTATCGAAGTAGAGGCAGTATAGATTTTCATCTACAAAATTGTAATAGTAGGATAAGCAGCAAATGTGTATTTTAAAAGGGAGTGTTTGAATTCAATAAATTGAATAATGATATTAAAGTGTCCGAATTCAAAAATGTTTAAGGTGAAATTAAAAATCCCTTTATGAATACCCAATTTAATTTTAATATAAAAGAATGTAAAATTACAGAAAATTGATTCAAAAATGCGTAACAGAATAATTTTATACAACATTGACATTGTAGCGAGAGTTTTGCCACGTCTAGAAATATTTCCGGTAGAACCCATTACCTTTTTCCACCAATAATATACAAGGTGGTCAAACCAAAACGGATGTTTTTGTAACGGGTAGTACGTGGAGCTGTGTGATCGGTCAAGGTCGCAGACTCCCTCAACTCGTAGCCCACACTGGGACGTTTAGTTGCAATGGAAAACTGGAGCGTGCAGCATCGCGTGTTTGCCGTTGAAGAATTTATTCGCAATGGCGAGTCTATCGTGGTTACTCGGCGTGCGTTCCGTCGTCAGTTCAACCGAGCGCCACGTAATGTGCTTCCTTCGCGTAACACAATACTGAGATGGGTAAATGATTTTCGTACACACGGTAGTGTGAAGATAAAAAAGAAAAGAGGTGGCCGAATGGTAGCCACACCTGAGAACGTTGATCGCGTAAGAACGCCTGTTCTTCACAGTCCAACTCGGTCAACCAGACGTCGCGCTCAAGCACTCCGAATTCCTCGCGGAAGTTTAATGAACATTTTGAACAAAAATCTAAAATTCCATCCTTACAAAATAATGGTGGTTCAAAGGCTCCTTCCGACTGACTACCGTCAGCGTGAGCAATTCAGCTTGCGCATGTTGGACATTTTAGAGGAAGAAGATGCACTGGTGATGTTGACAGATGAGGCTCATTTTCACTTAGACGGTTTTGTCAACAAACAAAATTGTCGTTATTGGGCACCTGACAACCCGCGAGAATTACACCAACGGCGTCTACACAGCGAAAAGGTGACTGTGTGGTGTGCAATCTCCAAACTCGGAATAATAGGGCCCTACTTTTTCGAAAATGAAAGAGAGCAGACAGTGACAGTCAACTCCGCCCGGTACCTGGGTATGCTTCAAGAATTTTTCATCCCTTATCTTGAAGAAAATGAGATTGGCGCTGGCAGCATCTGGTTTCAACAGGTCGGGGCTACAGCTCACACAGCAAGGATTTCTATGGACTTTTTAAGAGCGACTTTCCCTCGACGCGAAATATCCCGAAATGGTGATGTTCCCTGGCCTCCACGCTCCCCAGATCTTACCCCCTGTGACTTCTTTCTTTGGGGCTACTTGAAGTCTAAAGTTTATGTTAACAGACCAAAAACCATCCAAGAATTAAAGGAAACCATCAGAAATGAAATCACGGCGATTCCACACGATATGGTGCAAAGGGTAATGACAAACTTCAACAAGCGCCTGGACGAATGCATTGCACTGGAGGGTCGCCATTTAAATGACATTATTTTTCACACTTAAATATGTTTTCGATATTTTTGGTTTGACAATAAAATTTCCTGAGTTTATCTACACATTGACTTAATTTTCAACCCCGTATGATAAAAATTTAAATTTTGACAGTGTCTTAAAATTCGTCCGTTTTGGTTTGACCACCCTGTACCAGTATCCATCACGCTTTGATGTCTACTGAGCTGAACAGCTGATCAGCAAGTGGCATTTTTGTGTTAGTCTGCAACGTTGGCAATAATGGATCGGGTATAAATCTAGTAAAACTTTTGGCGTTTTGTTTTTTTATGCAAATTAACTTTTCTGAATAAAAGAGTTAGTTGTTAGCAAGAACAAAATGAATCTGTAGTGTACACAGCACCAAAACAAAAGTCGGCTCTGTCTACCGGACGTTGACGGATCCGTCAGAATTATGTGTCCTGTGCTGATATGGGGAATTTTGGGATACTACTAAATAATCAGCTGTCATTCTACAGTGATGGATACTCATGAAATAGGGTAACTGACGGATCCGTCAATGCCAGATAGACAGAGCTAGATTTTGTTTTGGTTTTTTGTAGACTACAGGTTGATTTTGTACTTGCTAAAAGCTCTTTTATTTAGAAACGTTCATTTGCTTACAAAAAGCAAAACGCTACAAACAAATTTTTGTTAGATTTACAGCCGATTCATTATAGTCAACGTTGCAGACCAAAGCAAAAATGCCACTTGCGGATCAGCTGTTCACCTCAGTAGACGTCAGAGCGTGATGTATACGCGTAAAATAGCGTGTATATACCCTATAAAATATGGCTCTGTTCACCTGGCATTGACGGAGACGACAGAATTATGTGTCCTTTGTAGATTTTAAAATATTACCACATAACCTGCTGTCATTGTACCGTGATGGATACTCGTGAAATATGGTATATGTGCGAACTGCGAAAATCAAAACATAACCTCACATCCACAGCCTCTTTCCAGTACCTCATTTGTGTTACTCGGAGGTACCCACCACCTGTCAATATCGTTCCAGTGCTCTAGAGTGTGATGCACCTGAGCTACTCACTTTTGAAATCCCCTGCCCCCTCATGCACCACTCTTTATTAGGTGTTATATGCTCCGAAATAGTGGGGATAACGAAAATGGCAATGTGACAAGATCGTTAGGTATGTTTTTTCATGCTTTTTTTTTGCATTAAACCAATACCATACAATGGAGGATGGTAGTAATGTTATGACCCAGAGTCACAACGTTCATTTGTGATGTTTCTGAATAATAAATATCACAAGAGAGTGCAAGAAAGCAGGTTCATAGCGGTCGTTGGCTTAATCTATGACTACAAGTATATTCAGACAAGAGATAGACCGGATGTAAACAAAAGGTTCGGGTGATTTTCACGCTAACGCCGCCGTCTCGACGTAAAACAGGAGCCCTCATTGGTCAATTCGCAATTAAATGCCTATGCCGAGCGGCAGAGCAGTCGTATCAAGGCAGAGTCACATTCAGGTTCAGACGTGTTACGTATGTCGTGTGCATCATTGCAATTTGATATTTCTTTGGACGTTTTCGTTTGTTATCTTATTAAGTTGTTGAGTTTGTCGTTGTTATTGTTATACCTTGTTATTGATTGTTATTGTTATCAACTGCTTGCGCAAAATGCCCAGTAGTACAGATACTGCCGAAGAAGTTGTAAACTCCTGTAGTCCACCTAGGAAACGCTCTAAAAAAAGACACCTGAGTGCAGGAATGAAATACCTACTATAGATAAAGTACTGCAGGAGGTAAATGGAGATACAGCGATGCCAAATTTCAAACGATCAAGTTTCCATGCGTTACTGAAGCATTTAAATTTCAAATGGAAAAAACGGGGTCGTAATAGTTTACTACTGGATAGAGAAGAAATTGTGCTATGGAGGAGGGATTATTTAACAAAAATTGGGAAATATAGAAATCAAAACAGGAAGATTTATTACCTTGATGAAACATGGGTAAACGCAGGACACACTACAAGTAAAGTATGGGTTGATGATTCTGTAACTTCATCCAGGAGGGCCTTTCTAGATGGACTGTCCACCGGATTAAAAAATCTAGCAGGTAAATACGAATAATAGACAACAATCGGATGTTTTTCAAACCTTGGGAACAAGGTTCTAAACATTAATTCCAGGGGGCAGATAAAACATATTACAAGTAACAAAACTTTTATAACTTTCGATAAAATGCGTGGATGTTTTATTGTCATTTTCATTTGTTAGAACTTTTTTAAGCCATGTTTTTATGTGTTTTCGATATTTCAATAATTTTTTAATACAATCTTAAAATATGTCGAATTTTATAAACTTAAAAAACGTTACTAAGTTTTATATTGTGTACCGTTCCTAATATTTCTAATCATTTTAATTCATACTTTAAGCTTTATAAAGTTATAATTTGTTAATATTAATATTTGCGCGTATTTCAGGTTCCTGATCATTCATTTTTTAGAGGTTTATAACTTTAAATTAAATTGTGAAGCGCTGAGTAATCATACGACGTTCAATATTCTTTCTTTCAATATGACTAAATAATCCCAATTATAGCAATCTGATACTCATGTCTCAATGTTTTTTCGCTGAATGTGATGAAAACATTTGAAAAAGGTTCGCTTATTGAAATAAATCTACACCAGTTAGTACTTCGATTTCCAGGTAAAGGGAAAAGGCTCATTATTTGCCATATTGGCAGTGAGGATGGATTTGTTGTTGACGGTCTGTGGTGCTTTGAGTCTAA